CTGTATGCACTGCTGAGGTGGCCTGAGGCAGAGGGCACCACCAGGCCTTCAAGCTGGGATTTAAGTATCTGGGCAGGCTTCGAGGACAGGAAAAGGCATGGACCCCAGCTTAGGAAAGTCAGGCTGGCTGGTGCAACACAGAAGCCTATTTGGGTAAAGGAGTAGAGCATGGCTACTATGTGAGCAGAGGGATTCAGGTGCCAGGAGTTCTTGGGAGAAAAAGTTTCACAACAAGAGAAAAATGCCCGGGAGGAATTTCTATGTGTTCCGAAATCATGCAATGCAAGATTTTGCAAAAAAGCAATATGGGGTTGGAGTTGAACCCGAATTCATGAGTCAACAGTTGAGGCTGTATATATTACTGCCTGTTCCCTATATACTCCACTAAGACAGACCCCAAATCAGCTATGCCCTCATCTAAGTAATGAAGAAAGCACAGGAGAAGTTAGGAGACCTGGATCTGGTTCCAACACCGTGGCCCTTGGGAAGTCACTTTGCCTCCTGAGTCAGTAATAAGAGTAGACCGACTAGTCGGGCACCTGGGTGGCTCAGTCGTTAAGTGTCTGCCTTCGGCTCAGGGCATGATCCCGGGGTCTTGGGATCAAGCCCCGCATCGGGCTCCCTGCTCCGTGGGAAGCCTGCTTCTCCCTCTCCCACTCCCCCTGCTTGTGTTCCCTCTCTCTCTGTCTCTCTCTCTGTCAAATAAATAAATAAAATCTTTAAAAAAAAAAAAAAAAAGAGTAGACCAGGCATCTCCAAGAACCCCACCAACTCTGAAATTCTAAAATTTAGAGCACGGGGGTGAACGGTGATTAGTAAATTTGAAAACAACCTCAATATGGCCCTGGAGTTGAACAAAACAAAACGCCAGGACAAAAGGAGTGAGTTTCCACCAAGTTTCAGTAGAGCATCTCCCGTACTCCTCCTCACGCTCCTGGACCACAAGGACTGCTCTTCTGCTGTGTGGTTGCCCTTCTGCGTCCATCCTTCAAACGCAGGATTCAGCCTTGCTGGTCTGCCAGGAATCCCTCGCAGAAGTTCGGACTGGGGAAATAAGAGCCCTCTCCCTCTCCCTTCATTTCCCTCTAAACCTACTTGGAATGTGTGCCCAGAATGGACTCTGAAGGATGCGGAAGGCCAAAGGCATGGGACTTGCGAAGACACTGTATTGGGGTAACCCAGCCTAGGACGTCTCCTGCAAGTGTCTTGAGGTCCCATTGGTGGGGGGAAGTCCCTTGAGTAGGTGTCTCCTTGAGGCTCTTCTGCTGGCCATGCCTGCCTGCCAAGTCCACCTAGGTACCTGATGTCCTCCAGAGACTGCACTTCCCAACAAGTGCGCAAAGGGAGCCCCTGGGTTATCTGTGGGTGGAGCCAGCGCCTCGGAGGCCTCAAGTGGCCACTAGGGGGCATTCGGCTCTCGGTGGCTTCTAATGCCCTCCTGTGGCCAGACTGAAGATCGGCAAGATAGAAGTTGCAGAAGAGAGCCAAGACGGGACTCCATAGGGAGACAAGTTAACAATAACAGTTCCTTATAAAATAACATTATATCAATATTTACTGTTACATATTAGTTAACATTTTGACATGTGTACCTACGAGTCTGTGCGAGCACTCTTCTGAAGGGGCGCCTGGGTGGCTCAGTTGGTTAAGCATCTGCTTTTGGCTCAGGTCATGATCTCAGGGTCCTGGACTTGAGCCCCACATCGGGCTCCCTGCTCAGTGGGGAGCCTGCTTCTCCCTCTTCCTCTGCCCGCCGCTCCCCCTGCTTGTGCGCGCTCTCTCTCTGTCAAATAAATAAATAAAATCTTAAAAAAAATAAGGTGCTCTACATGTATTAATTTATTTCTCACAATAGCTTATCATATAAACACTATTATTATCTCTGTTTTGAAGATGAGGAAACTGAGCACAGAAAGGTTGAGGTAGGGGCGCATGGGCGGCTCAGTTGGTTAAGCATCTGCCTTCGGCTCAGGTCATGATCCCAGGGTCCATGATCTGAGTCCCACATCAGAATCCCTGCTCAGTGGGGAACGTGCTTCTCCCTCTGCCTGCCCCTCCCCCTGCTTGTTCTCTCTCTCTCTGACAAATAAATAAATAAAATCTTTTTTTTTAAAAAGATTTTATTTATTTATTTGAGAGAGAGAGAATGAGAGAGAGAGAACGAGAGGGAAGAGGGTCAGAGGGAGAAGCAGACTCCCCGCTGAGCAGGGAGCCGGATGTGGGACTCGATCCCGGGACTCCAGGATCATGACCTGAGCCGAAGGCAGTCGCTTAACCAACTGAGCCACCCAGGCACCCTAAATAAATAAAATCTTAAAAAAAGGAGAAGAAAGAAAGTTTGAGGTAATTGCTAAAGTCACATAGGAGACTGGAATTCTGAGTCCAAGAAGTCTGGCTCCAGAACTTTTGCTTTTAATCACCATGCTGAAACTGAGTCCCATCTTCCCGGTTGCCAGGTAAATTACAGGATGCTCAGTTCAATCACAATTTCAGATAAACAATAAATGATTGTTATCCTAAGTATATCCCATGAAATAGTTGGGTCAGACTTAATACCAACAAATTGTCATTTACCTGAAATTCTAATTTAACTGGGTGTCCTGCATTTTTTTTTATTAAATCTGGCAGCCTTATTTTACAAGGCATTTTTCTCTGCCAAATGCCATCACATATATTACCTAATTCAGTCCTCCCAGGAAGACTACTCTCAGGTGCCCAGGATACCCCCTCCACACACTTCAGTCTCTCCCAATAGTCCCATTTTTTTCTCAGGTAAAGAAACAGACACAGAGACCTGAAATGACTAGCTGAGGTTACAGAACAGAACGAGCGGCAGAGTTGGGGCTTGAACCCACGTTCTCACGGCAAAAATTGGTGGATGTTTCCCAGTTTAACAGGAGGCAAAGTGAGAAGCAGTGATCGCCACCAAGGAAATCCCCCTTCGTGCATACTTGGGCCTGGTCTGCCCTGTGGAAGAGGGGCAGGTCCCTCCTCAGGGACGTAAGAGAACCGGCGAGGGCCTTCCTTGGCGGGGAGAGGGGCAGAGGAGTGGAAACAGCTCTCTAGCTTCCGTGCCCAGCCCCCGCCGGACCTCTGGAGGGAAGCCGGAAGGACACAGCTCCTAGGTCCCAGGGAGCTGGCTGTGAGGCTCAAGCGGCTACCTGCTCAGGGGCCCTGGGCTCCCCAGGGCCGCTCACTTGCTGCTCTGTGCACTGGCAGCCCCAAGCCCAGCTGCAGCGGTTGCATCAGTACCGCTAAAACCGTCCTGGCAGCCAAAAGGCACCAGAAGGAATCTAAGACACAGGAACCCAGGGAGCCTCTCCCATCTCCCTGTTGCCTTTTGGGAGCATCATGCTTCTGTCCACAGGGAACACCCTTTGCATTTTTCTCTCTTGACTCTGCTGATCAGCGCCCACCCTCAAATACCTGCTCTTTCTTTCCCTGCCCTTCCCACCCAGGCTGACGGGCTCTGATAAGGTAGTAGTAGTCAGGGAGTTTGGGGGTTAGGACCCCCTCTGGGGTGCGGGCTGGGGTGCCCTGCTGGTATGTGCCCCAACAGGTTTTTCTCTATCAGCCTCTAAATCAGCCTGGAGCCTGTCTGACCTGTCCCCCCAGGGAGCTGGGGCCAGAGGCGGAGCCAGGTCAGAAGCTGGACTTAAAGCCTGGGCTTCTATGGTCGCCCACCGCCCCCCACCCCCCACCCCCCAGCCCCACAGGGAAAGCAACGCCCCGAGCCTCTTGTGTCCAGCTGAGCTGCTGAGAGGCTGAGCAGAATTCTCTCCGCGGGCTGAGGCCCGGCTCCTGGGAGGAAAGATGCTTGCTAGGGAGGGGTTTGCCTTTGGGACCAGGTACTGCTGGGTCCTCTCCCACATTTGGGAGGGGCCGGAGCCCAGGCAACTGCTGGGCTGGGCTGGGCTGCTAGAGAGGTCATCTGACTGGCTGCCCGGCCTGGGAGGCACACGCCGCCTCTCCTCTGGCCGACCACGCAGAAGCTGGTGCCCACACAGGCAGTTGCCAGGCTATGACTGCCGCTCGCCCCCAGCACCTCTGGGTAAGCACTGGACCTGGGCCCTCAGGGGGGAAGGGAGGAGGGAGAGCTTGTGGATCCCTTGGGAGAGGGAGAAAGGAGTTTTCTCTTTCTCTCTTTTAAGACTTTATTTATTAATTTGACAGAGAGAGACACAGTGAGAGAGGGAACACAAGCAGGGGGAGTGGGAGAGGGAGAAGCAGGCCTCCCGCCGAGCAGGGAGCCCGATGCGGGGCTCGATCCCAGGACCCCGGGACCATGACCTGAGCCGAAGGCAGATGCTCAACGAATGAGCCACCCAGGCACCCTTGGAGTTTTCTTTTTCTAATGTGAGTGCTTGCTCCCTTGTCTAAGCACCCATGTACCTGAAGGAACACATACATCAGCCCCAAGGTCGCACCTGCTGAGCTGAAGATCACTGCCAGAGACTCCAAGGGGGAAAGGCGGGCAGCAGGTAGGCAGCCTGGTGGGCAGGGGGCAGGGGCTTACTCCTGGGCTGGGGCTGAAGGTGGAGAGGTGTTTTAGAGGTTGTTATCTCCCACCCCACATACTTAATCCTGCCACATCGCCTTACCTCCCCTGCACTGCCCCAGGAACACCTAGCCAGGCCATCAGAAGAAAGGGACTTGGATCTCAGAAGGGGGTCATCCACCTGGGACCAAAGTTTGGGAGCCTTGGGACCCACCCTGGAGTCAGGGAGGGTTTGTCTGGTGCTCATTCTAGCAGCATTCCTGATCAATCCTTGCTTCCTGAAGGAGGGGTGAGAGGTGGGGAAGATGGGGACTTCCCCTTACCCCTCCATTTGGGCTCCCAAACCTGACAAGCAGGTTGATGTTCTTTTTTTTCTGCAACATGGGAAAGGAACGGCATGGGAGGTGGGCCTCGGGGTCTAGGGGTCATAAAGAGGCCCAAAGGGCCAGGAAATTCTCCTCAGTTGTCTCCTGTTTCCCTCCCTGGAACAGCCAGTCATACCATGTCTGTGACCAGCCGGAAGACAAGGTCATCCCTGACCCAGGAGATCCTCAGCCACCTGGGCCTTGCGAGCAAGGTAGGGGCTGTGATCCTTGGAATCGTTGTTACTATATCAACTCCAGGGCAACGAGGGAATGGAGGATGGGAAAAGGGTGAGCAGGCCCTGAGACCATGCCAAGGGCCATGCTGAGGCACTGGGGCAGGCGCGTGTGGACCTGTGATGCTCCCCCCAACCCCCCACCCCTCGTGTTCTTACAGACTGCAGCTTGGGGAACCCTGGGCACCCTCAGGACCTTCTTGAGCTTCAGCGTGGACAAGGATGTGCAAAGGCTGCTGAGGGCCATTGCAGGCCAAGGTGAGCCCTTTTCCTTCTGCACCTGGGGAATCCACCTTTTAGAAACCAGTCTGCAGACCAAGAAGGAGCCAGGAAGGAGGAAGTGACGTTGTTCAATAAATGTTTGTGGAATGCCTTAATTCTTGTATGTCAAGTACCATGGTAGGTATGTCATTCCCATTCTCGGGACACCCTTGTGAGGTAAGTCTTATTTCCATTTTACAGATGAGGAAACAGGCTTGGTGAGACAAAGAGGCTGGCCCAAGGTCACACAGCTCATAATGGCAGGGCTGGGACTCTAAGTCTATAATCACCAAACCATTTCTCCTCCACCACACCAGGCCACCTTCACCTAATTTTGGGTCAGGTTCACATGCCATTTTGGCATCTTATTTGCATCTTCTTTTTTTAATTCTTTTTTTTTTTTGAGAGAGAGAGAAAGTGCTCAGGAGCACTGGGGGGAGGAGCAGAGAGAGAGGGAGAGACTCTTCAGCAGACCCCTGCTGAGCACAGAACCCACCACCCTGAGATCATGGCCTGAGCCGAAATCAAGAGTTGGATGCTTAACCGACTGAGCCACCCAGGCGGCCCTGCATCTTCTTCTGAGGCCGAATGGAAGTGGGGGTGTTGCAGCCCAAAGGGGGGCTGCAACACCCTTTGGAGGCTTCAAGCCCAAGGAAGAAGGGGATCCCCGCCCTGTAAAGATTCTGTTGCGTTCCGCCCAGCTGATGGCCCAGCCCTCATCTTGGTTCAGGTGTGGACCGTGGCTCCATTGTGGACGTACTGACCAACAGAAGCAGAGAGCAAAGGCAGCTCATCTCTCGAGCCTTCCAGGAGCGCACCCAACAGGTGAGGCCACTGACTTCCCAGGAGCAGCGGACTGGGGTGAGCAGCCCCCTGGAAGACTTGGAGTACAGCAATAGCAGCTGAGGGGGGATGGCTGGTGCTTCTGGCCTTAGGAAAAAACCAGCCAGATGTTCTCAAAGCTCCCCACACATCCGGGGCCCTCACCATGGTGCCTGCTCCTCTGCCATGGGGACCGTTTATTGTAGGACCTGCTGAAGTCCCTGCAGGCAGCACTCTCTGGCAACCTCGAGAGGATTGTGATGGCTTTGCTGCAGCCTGCAGCCCAGTTCGATGCCGAGGAATTGAGGACAGCCTTGAAGGTACCAGCAGAGGAGGCTCGCTGGGTGTCTAGGAAGTGAGGGGAGGAGAGAGGGTTGACTGACTTGCCTTTGCCCACTCCAGAGGGGTCGACTTGGCAGGGGCCCCCTTTAAACAGCCCATATTGACCCTTAAAGGACAAGTGGTCGGCCTCTGCTCTGTGCCATCCTAATGACATGGCCCAGTGTCAGAGTGGCCTCCCAATTTCTTGTAGAACTCAGGTTCTGCTGAGGATGTGGCCGTGGAAATTCTTGCCACCCGAAGCCCAGCCCAGCTGCAGGAGTGCCTGATGGTCTACAAACATAGTAAGAGCACGTAAGGAGGGGGGGAAGTGATGGCAGGACAGGGCCCACTCTCTGGCTCTCCCTACAGGCAAGCCCTCTGGGAACCTGTCTGCCCCAGCTCTGTTCCCTTGGGGTCTCCCCCTCCACCCACCCTTGCCAGTTCTCAGTCTCCCCCAGGGAGAGAGCCCAATGTGATCATTAAAGAAAGAGAAGCGATGAGTAGCCATCTTAGTCTGGGGCTCCAGGGCAGATTCCGAGGTAATGACAACGTTGGGCAATGTGACGATCCCAAGGGTACCCATGTCATCTTCCCAGCCCCTTCCTGATTCTGCCCTCACACCACATCCCAGGTTGAATGGAACCTTGTTGCAGCCGGGGCGGGGGGGCGGGAATGGTGGGGGACCTGTTCTCTAAGTCATGGGTACTACCCCTCAGGCCCCTGCTTGACTGCCACATGCCTCACCCACTAATTGCTAACTGGCCTTCTCTCATCCTCATCTGAGCACCTCCCCCCCTTTTTGCTTTCCCTAATTTTCCTTTGATGTCCATTCTTGGCTTTTCTTAATCCCTCTCCTACCTCTCACTTCTTTTTCTTTCTTTTTTTTTAAGATTTTATTTATTTGAGAGTGAAAGAGTGCAAGCAGGGGGAGAGGGAGATGGAGAAGCAGGCCCCCCACTGAGCAGGGAGCCTGACGCGGGGCTTGATCCCAGGACCCTGGGACCGTGACACGAGCTGAAGGCAGACTGAGCCACGCAGGCGCCCCCTACCTCTCACTTCTTGCTTCTGTTTTACTTTTCTTTCTTTCTTTCTTTCTTTCTTTCTTTCTTTCTTTCTTTTTTTAAAGATTTTATTTATTTATTCATGAGAGACAGAGGGAGAGAGAGAGAGAGAGAAGCAGAGGGAGAAGCAGGCTCCCAAGGAGCAGGGAGCCCGATGCGGGACTCGATCCCAGGACCCTGGGATCATGACCTGAGCTGAAAGCAGACGCTTAACCATCTGAGCCACCCAGGCGCCCTTCTTTTCTTTCTTTTTCTCTTACTTCTTCACATTCTTCCACATCACTTCTCCTTGCCTCCAAGGAGGGGGCCAGGCCCTAGCCATCTGGCCTCATGATGTAGGTTTCCCTATCCCCCTTGACTGCCTGGCCAGCGTTCAAATAACAGATGCCTCCTTCCCCTAGCAGGTTGGTTCCCTGGGGTGCATGACCCTACAGCGCATGGGTTACTTGCAGCTTAGGGATGTTTTCAGGGTGGCCATAATGTTGCTTCTGCTTTACATCCTGGGAACCAGCGGCCATCAGGCTACCCCCAGCAGGAGATGACAGTATAGGCAGGGCACAGTGGGTTGGGCATTTGACAGGGAATATCTACACTGGGAAAAATCGGGAGGCTTCAGAGAGCTCCCGACCCCACCCCAGATTTCCAGGTGGAGGCTGAGGAGGACATCAAATGTGAGACCAGCGGCATCTTGCAGGAACTGCTCCTGGCCCTGGCCATGGTGAGGAGGACTGGCCTGCAGGAGAGGGAGGGGGCTGGGGGAGAGGGGCAGCATTGCTTTGGTATAATTAACAAGAGAAGACTTTGGGGAGAGGGGTTTGGTTGGTTTGGGTTGGTTGTCCTGGAGGTAAAAAGCTACCCCTCAAAGAGTCCTCCTGAGAGAGTTTCTTCTAGGGGGCCCGTGAGAGCTACTCTGGAATCATTGACTATAACCTGGTGGAACAGGATGTCCAGGTGAGCAGGGGTGAGGAGCTGGCCCAGCCACGCACATAAGACACCCTCCTCCACCCACTCCTAGAGCCAATGACAAGTGTCCCCACTTGTCCTGCAAATCTCTCCTTGCCTTGGGGGAGTCCTCAGTGACAGGTGAGGACATGAAGTTTCAGGTAGTGACCATCTGAAGCCTTTTCACTCGTTTAGCCTCTGATTCCTGAACTCACAGGAAGTGTGCTCATCAACCGACACATTCTCCTCTCACGGGCATTTGGGTGGGGTAACCCTCCTCAGACTTTCCCTTGGAGATTAATTCCTTGAGTGCCAGGATTTCCCCAAATTGGGGAATCGAGCTGTGAGGGCAGAGTCCCTCTCTTAGCCCTATGCCCTTTTTGTTTGTTTGTTTTAACCATAAATAAAGGCAACCGCTTCACAGTTTCAATTAAGCTTTTCCACTCCGAATCCCATTTCCATCATCATGATAACAGATTCTGGGAACATCACAACCGTGGCTCCCCTACCCCCAACCAATGATCCCGGTTTACTCCTCCCTCCCAGGCATTAAAACAAGCTGAAGGGCCCAGCACAGAGGGCACGTGGGTCCTAATCTTCACCCAGCGAAATCCTGAACACCTCGTCCGAGGTACACGCAAGACTTCTTGTCTTCCCCGCTTACTCTGATGATGAGTTTTGGCTGAGGAAGGTGGGGAGGGCTCATCCTTCTCTGTGATAATCAACCCTTGCTCCCATTTATCTTTCTAACTACCTCCCACACCCCCCACAGTGTTCGATCTGTACCAGCGGTATACTGGGCACGAGCTGGAGAAGACTGTCCACCACCTTTTCCATGGAGATGCCCAGGCAGCTCTGCTCAGCCTAGGTAGGGCCTGCTCAGCACATGCGGGGTAGGGCTCTCGCCTAGCGTGGGAGCTGGCTCTCTCCATCTCTCCCTCTCTGCCTGCAGCCTCGGTGATCAGGAGCACACCGCTCTACTTTGCTGATAAACTTCATCAAGCCCTCCAGGTGAGAGGGACGCTTCTTTTCCCTCCCTTTGGAACAAAAACTGGGGGGAGACATCTTCTGGGCAAGAGAGAGGAAGTTTCACGCTGTTGCTAATGTAACAACCTCATATTTACTTTATAAACATATAGTATCTCTCTTTTCCTAGGTTTGCAAACTGTCTTGTGACTAATAGAGGCATTAGCTCTGGTTAAAGCTAAATGAGTTGACTCAAAAGGGAACTGAAGCCAAAATTTTGGCCTAATTGATGTCTAGGTGGCCAAATATAGATATGAATTTGCTCTGTAAGACAGCATCGTGTCCAATTTCAGTTGTCACCAGAATAATGATGGTGATGACAAGAACCAACATTTCTTGGGTGCTCTCAATGTGTCCCAGGGCCTATGCTGGGCTTGTTACACACATTTCAGTTAATCTCCATGGCCACCCTCCATCTGCTTTATAGATGAAAAAACTGAGGTACAGAGAGGTTAAGTTCTTTGCCCAAGGTCATATACAGCTAATAAATCATACAGGCTTCCTATAAAACACATAATGGACAATATAACATTGTATGTTATTTATGTTGGAATTTAAAAATAATTAAAAACCACACACACATAATGGTCTTATAAGACATTTAACTGCCGTGCGTCAACTCAAATAGGTGTTGGTCTATACTATAAGCTACACCATCAGAGTTCTAGCCCCCAGGACCACCTTTCTCCATGCTGGTCAGACCTTGTTCCCTATTGTCCACACTTCAATTGGTGATGTTGGTTTGAGTAATTTCATAAACAGAATCCAGTTGTTCTACTCATTGAGCTAGGTCTCCTATTAGTACAACTGTCCCCCAAAACCTATAAATAAAAAACTCACCCCAATTTTTGAGAAGATGAAAGGAGTTGTCATTTTGGTAGACGGCATAGCTTCTTGTATACTGAATGAGAAATCATCATGCCTTGTTGACAGCTATTCAAAAGACAGCACATGTATGCACTTATTTTATCATCAATGGAGATTTCCATTTTGACAGTAGATTAATATTTTACTTACCCAGTAAAAATCTGCACTATTACACTGAGCCAACACTAAGACTGATTCGAAGAGTTCTGGTTATCTGTCTAAATTCCGGTCATAGACAAACTTGTATCCCAGCAGTAAATGATTATAATGTATTTGGATTGTGGGACCCATGCTCTTAGATGTAAATGCCAGGTTTATCCCAGAAGTAGGAGTCACAAAATAATATAGGCCTATTTTTCTGAAAAGTTTTTTTTTAAAAGGAAAAAATCATATGCTTCTTAATTCTCTTATGAGAAATATGTGAAAACATAGATTGTGACAAATATTTATTCAGAAAAATGACCTTCAGTGAAGGCTGATTCAGGAAAATTGGGACCAATCTGAACCACACAATGAATGTTCATTAAAAGGTCCTGGGGAAGTATGAGATGCCAAGTACATTCTCAAGTAACAAGGCAAGAATTATGTTTAATGTAGGTTTGCTAGACAGGGTGCTTGTGCATCAATGTTCCAGAATATTCAATTAATGAGTACCTTGCCCCGATTCTACAACTTTGGAGTAATAAGAGTTGGAAGAAGGGGAAGAACGGATACTGGGGAGCGATCAACAATCTTTATCACAATACAAAATTGATGATACATAAAATTTAAGATAAAGCAGCTATCAGCACTGACCATGAGGTAATGAGTCCAAATGAAATATGGCATCCTGTTGTTAAGTCCTCATTTTCTTTTTTTCTCCCTCACGGGAATTTATGATCTGTGTAGACGCCGTAAGTGTGGGTATCAGGCAGTTCTGGGAAGGGTCTTGTGAGTCAAGTAATAGGAAACGCCGGGAAAGAAGCTATTAGGAAATTGTGATCACGCCGGTATACAGCCCATGACATAAATAGGATTTTTGCAACCAACGTTTTTATTTAGAAATCTCTCGTGATAACTAACACATTTATTATAATCAGTTAAAATTCATGATTGATATAACCAATTAATATTTACGTATTGTACCTCTATTATTTCTTTTTTTTTAAAGATTTTATATTTATTTGAGAGAGAGAGAATGAGAGAAAGCACGAGAGGGAAGAGGGTCAGAGGGAGAAGCAGACTCCCTGCTGAGCAGGGAGCCCGATGCGGGACTCGACCCCGGGGCTCCGGGATCATGACCTGAGCCGAAGGCAGTCGCTTAACCAACTGAGCCACCCAGGCGCCCCTGTACCTCTATTATTTCTAAACCGAATCCTCCATTACCCTCCTTAACCAAAAGGCAGGAGGCTTGGTACAGGCTTAGGAGGAAGACAGTGATGCTGGACCGAGGGGTCCAACCAGGAGAAACTGATGTATACAGATGGGGATGTGAGGTGGCCCTGGTAGGTCAGGCTCAGAACCAAAAGCCACATGACCCTGCTCCCTCTCAGAGCCCCATCAACTCAGTTTGGGGATAGGCTGGGTATATCTTTCTTGGATATTCACTAACTTGGAAGTTGAGAACTTCTTGGCTTTCATGCTGGAAGTCTTTGTAGGTAGCAAGTCTTTCCTATCCTTTTTGGAGGAACTACCTTTGGAGCTGCCCACCACTGAGATCTTGAGGAATGAGGCTCTAAGCTAGTGGCATGGCCTAGAAAGACATGTGGCCAGAACGAGAATTATCCAGCTGCTCCCACTGAGACTGATCTTTCCTGCTTTATCACCTTCCATGAGGGTGGACAAGGATACATTTTCCTCTCAGATAACGTACACTTCTCTTTTCCCTGGACTCACACCTTGCTTCCCCTTTCTAGAGTAATTTACCATGCTGTCCAGTCTCTACTCTGTGAGAATCTTACTACCACCCTCTCCCCCTTCTGTTTCTCCCTCAACCAGGACATCAAGCCCAATTACCAAGTTCTGATGCGCATCCTTATCTCTCGAAGTGAGACTGACCTTCTAAGCATCCGAGCTGAGTTCAAAAAGAAATTTGGCAAGTCCCTCTACTCTTCTCTCCAGGTGAGACTTGGCTAGTTCTTAACCTGGAGGCCCAGAGCTTCACCCCTTACCTCCACTCTGCCCTCCCTGGAGAACTCATGAGTCTTTGGTCAATTTTGTACACAACTCTTGACATCAGACAGTTCTGGACCAGCACAAGGGAGGAAACGGAATGCCTGGGCCATGGTGGTAGTGGGGTCTAACACTTGACTCTCTTTGTCTGCAGGAGGCAGTGAAAGGGGACTGCCGGTCAGCTCTACTAGCCCTGTGCAGGGCCGAAGACATTTGAGGCCTCCCTACCACACCATGATATCCAAGGATCTAAGATCCCCATGTTTGGCTGAGCCTGCAGGAAATCAGCTGGACCTCCAAATAGGATAACCCCTCACTGAGCACCCATGCTCCAGCTTCTTGTTGAGGCTAGAATGTGAAGTCTCTTTTGAATCCCTTGATTTCCTCATCTCAAAGTGATGCCTCACCTGGGTCCCCCATCTCTGTCTTGGGTATAGATAGCTCTTTGATGGTTTCTGCCCTACTCATCCTTCCCATACCCTGGCCAAAACATCTCACTGATTCTTGAATTCTTTTGGCAAACTTCACTGTTGTTTGTGTTCCCTGATTGAAGTTTGGGTGGAGCAGGACATGGGCTGGAGGAGACCTTGAAGTTGGAGGTGCCTTTGATATGCACTTGGATATTCAACAGGGATCCTGTTTGAGGCTCTAGGGCTGCAACAAACACCCCCCTCGAAGCTCCCCGCCCCCCCCAATTATTCTCTCTTCCCCAGGAAATTTCAGGCAAAGTAACTGAGGAACAGGAGCCGGTATGAGGTCAGAAATAGAGGCAGCAAAGGACCATCTGATCAAGCTGCCCTCCCCTGCCTGGGAAGTCTTAGGTTAGCAGGGAGCAAAACCCCCAAATCGCATCTGTCCAAAGCAGGGACTTGAAAACCCACTTCCCAAACTGGATTACCATTCCCATCCAAGACCTACCAAAACTATTAAGACAGAAAAGAAAATAAGCAGGCTTTGGTCCCCCCTGCTGGCCCTATTAGAAATGACAACCAAAGCCACCCTCCGGGCCTCTATAACCTCCCCCACCTCTTTTGCGTTCCTTAATCGCGGCAAATACTGAACCCCAAGTGCTGCAGAGCAAGGCAAACAACAGGTCTCAGGAAAGGAGTTTTATTTCCAAACCCCTAGGAAAGCCATTACAAATAATGGAGATACAAACCCAAACCAAACCCTGAAACGACTGGAGACAGGTCAGCAGGATGGCCAGGAAGGGCCCAGCCAGTCGGGGGTGGAAGTAGGGGAGAGGCATTCTAGACAGGGACCTCACCCTGGAGCTTGAGTCCGTATATGAGTGTGACTGTTCTGGGGCAGGGGTGCTGGGAACCAGAAATCCTCACCCCACCAACCCCAATGTTGCCCTGGACGACTGGGAGGCAGAGAAGGTGGCAGCACACGAGGGCAGGATGTTACCGAGTCTGACCTTGGCATTTACTGCCTGCTCTGATCCCCCACGGTCCATAAATAAGTTACCCTGCATATCTCAGGGGTTGAGCTGGGGGAGCAATCAGAATAGCCATCACCTCCGAAAGACGGAGCGCAGCCCCAGCACTGGGCAAAGCTACAGGAGGACACAGTCTGACTCTTGTTTCGGCCTCTGCCGACGCTCCCCGACTGGGCGTCCAGACGTCGCTCCTCTCCCCTGTATGGGATTTAACAGTGGGTCACTCGTCAGCCCGGAAGAGCACAAGGACAGAGGTTCTAGAAGGACGTGGGGGCAGGAGCAGGAGGGGCGGCGGGGAGGGGAGAGGAGATGGGACCCAGGGGAGAGGAGCACCTTGAAGAGACGAGGGCAGGAATCACGAGGAGGAGCAGGGCGGAGCTCGGCCTGTGGGCAGGGGGGGCAGGGCGGAGCTCAGGGCCTGTGGGCAGGGCGGGCAGGGCGGGCAGGGCGGAGCTCGGCCTGTGGGCAGGGGGGGCAGGGCGGAGCTCAGGGCCTGTGGGCAGGGCGGGCAGGGCGGGCAGGGCGGAGCTCGGCCTGTGGGCAGGGCGGGCAGGGCCGGCAGGGCGAGCCGCTCACCTGGGGCGAGGCCCGCACTGGAGTGGTGGGGGCTGCTTGGTGCTGCCGGTACTCCTCCTGCTGAAGCTGCCGGGCCAGCTCCAAGTCGCTAAGACCCGACGTGTCCTGCGGCTGGTGCTGCAGGGACAAGGCGATCAGGTAGTCCTAGAGAGGGGCCGAGAGATCAGGAGCAGTGAGGTCGCCGGGGCCTGGGGCACATTCAGGCTGGCTCTAGGTTTCCAAACCCGTTTTTTCTTCTCCTTCAAATTCACCAGCTCCTCCTCCAGAGCAAAACACACAGCCAAGTACACTTGGTGGTGACCGACAACACACTCCAGGCTTGGAGGTGGCCCGGAGGTGGCAGTAAGGGGGCATCGTGGGTCATGATGTCTATGTGAGGAAATGCGTGTCACTCGCCTACGGCGAAGAGCTCGTTAGCACATGGGCTCTCCGCACCCTTCCCAAAGAGCCCACACACCTGGTCTACCTGCCGCCGCTTTTCGGGGGAGCCCCTCGCACCTCCTGCTCCAGGCCCCTTGCCGAGGGAATGACTCAGGTGGAAGTCCGAGTCGCAGAAGCAGCTGTCTCCATCGACGTTGTGCAGGCTCTCCCACACCACCTGCTCCTCCTGCAGAAAGCCCTGGTCGGTGACCAGTAGGTACAAGTGACCCTGCAGAGAAGAGGACGAAGTTCGTCGGCGGGATGGCGGGCCCAGAGGCGCTTCGGCTGAGATGCAGAGACCGTCTGAACGGCCTGGTGTGCTAGCTAGGGCGAGTCAGCGCGAGCACTCGCGGCCCGCAGATGTGTGGCCGTGGGGAGAAGGCCGGGCTTCTGCGCTACGGTCGGCTGGGTGTGAGTAGGGCAGTCACTGTGGTCAAGCGTGAGTCCTCGGGGCTGGGGTCCCACACAAGTTGCTGTTCCCTACCCTACTTCCCGTGGGTCTCGGGGCTGGCCTGATGGCTCTGAGGATAAATCCTTGGAGAGCCAAAGACCTTTCCTTCTTCCATTTAATTCCATTCCCTTCCTGGGAGAGGACTTTACTCTCCTGTCCCACTGAGGGCAGGCTAATTCCGTACGGCTTGCTCTGGCCAGTGAGAAGGTGGCAGAAATGACACGTGTCATCTCTAGGCAGAAGCATTAAAAGTGGGTGCATGGTGTCCCTCTCTCTCTTTTCCCTCCCACATTCCAGATGAAGGCCGTGTTGTCAGCCTGGGTCCCAGAGCCAAGACAATGTGGGACAGAATGGCAGCCAATCCACAGTGGCCATCCAGCAGGAGACATAAACCTTGGCTGTGGTAAAGCACAGGGATTCTCAAAGTCATCTGGTACCTGAACTTAATCTACCCTATCCTGTCGGACACACTGACCCAGAAGAAAAAACCGCGAGGAAGTGACAGCACTCCACCCGCCCCACCCGCATCTCCAAAGCCTCATCACCTTGTGCTTAGTCATGGTGCTAAAGTGGTTGTTTCGGAAAAAGACGCTAAGTTCACCCTCCTTGGCCGCTGCTGTTAGCTCACACAGCCCGTGGTAGGTCAGCTGGGCTGCAGTGCTCTCCAGGAACTGCTCTGCGATCAGGCCTGTCGGAACGCACAAAATGGCGCACGAGGGGCTTGGCTTCAATCCAAAGTCCACAGTGGGAAGAAGGATCACCCAGAGAGTCCCTGTCAGAAGCCCTAAGGATGGTCCCACCTTCTGAGATCCCTTGAAGCCTGGCTGTATTCATTCATCCAACAAATAGTTACTGAGCAGCCGCCTTGTGCCAGGCACCGCCCTAGGTCCTGAACGCAACAGCCAATTCCCCCAACTCTCTCTCATGGGGTTTCCATTCTAGGGGGATGTGGTGGGGGGAGACAGACGGTAAACAATACACTGAGGCAGCCATCATTCCCTCCACATAAGACCCCCAGAAGAGAAAGCAGGGCTCTACCACCTTCTGTCACAAGGTTGGTGTCACTAGAGTGCTTGCAGGTGATGATCTTCTCCACCAGCTGGTTGTAACTCAGTTTCCCAACTGCGCTCACAGCCTCGGGACTCTGCATGGGCAGTGGGGTGGGGTGGTGCCAAAACAATGAAGAACTTTTTAGGAAGGAAACGAAGCATGCCCACAGGATTGCAACCCTATAACCAAAGGTTCCTGAAACTGCATTTCTGAAGAACTGACCTATTTGCATTTGGTTTTGCCCGTATCTGCCCCTCAAAAAGGTTAAAATTCAAGGAATTCTGCACTGGGTCCAGCCTCTAATGCCTATTCCCTTCCCAAGCCAATCTAATTCCTAACTCCCTAACACCCACCCCACAACACCTTGCTTGTCTGTCAGTCTGAGCTGGAGGAGAGTCTCATTTGGGCCATCCCACCCTCACCTGTGGATCAACCAGCCAGCCATGGTACAGAGGTATGCCTAGGAGGTCAAAGATACTGCACTCAGGAGTATACTCAAAATCAGAGACCCCTGTGAATCGCACGTTGACATCCAGACCCGTGGCCAGTTTAGGCACCACTGTCATTGCATCGTCCACATTCTGGGGTTAGAAAAGAAAATGATGCCTATATCACATCAACACATTATACATCTTCAACTTACACAATCTTATATGTCAGCTATATCCCAATAAAGCTGGGGCGGGGGAGAAGAAAATGGTGGTTACTCTAGCCTCCCCTCCCCTGACTCCTAGCTCCAGAAATAAAAAAAATTAATCCTGTTGCTTTTCTTCCCTGGTTCTCTTACAGGCCATTCCATTCCTCCCTTGCCCCAACCCTTCTTTATCTTATATAAAAGGACATATTTTCTAGGACAGAGCTATACCCTCCTCCTGCAGAAAGAAATCATAGTTCAAGGGGCCTTCTTGAGAAGCAGAAGAAAGGCTTCTCTTCATAGCCTAGGTGTCCCCTTACAAACCTGCAAACTCCCATGCCCCCAGACCTTTGCCTTACCTGCTGAAAATTAAGCTGAAGTCCCTCTGACTTCTCCTGGGGCTTGATGGACAGGAGGCAGTCTCCTACAAGACAGGATCCCTCATCAGTTTTCCCTAATTGTCCCAAAAGCTGCTTCCTCTTCTCCTGGAGAATGGTCACAGACCACAGACTTTCAGAGCTGGAAAGAGCCTTAGAATCTAATCCAGACCTTTCACTTCTCAGAGGAAGAAAGAGACTCACAAAGGTGAAGGGCCCACCCAAGGTCACATTGAAAGCTCAGGGCAGAAGTAGGGTTATAATCCTGGACTCCTGATACCTTGATTTTTGCTTTTCATTCCCCAGCCTTGCAGAGAAGCCCTGTAGACCTTCACCCTCCTTGCCACATCAGAGCCCCAAATGGGAAGTCCCGCAATATTCTGGATTTCTGGCTGAGTGGAAAGTGTAAGCTCTTGAACCTTCTGTGTAATTCCTCTCCAAGGTCCAGTCACTCACCAAGATGGGCCATGAGCTCATCTGATGTGATCACTTCCTTCTGAGGGGGCAGCTGCACCTGGAGGCAGAAGGGGTGACCAAAGGGTTAGGCATGTGTGCATTTTCCTTCACAGAGCACCAAAGGAGAAATACACAGAAGGACGGGGGCAGGGGGTGGGGGCAGGGGAGAAGGGGAGGACATGGTGGGAAAGGCTTGCAACTGCAGTGAGGGAATGAATGTGAAGTGTTGCAAGACACTCCCATTTGCTAGACAGTAGAAGATACAAGAGCAGGACAGAGAATTGTTTTGTCTTGTTTTTATGAATATCTTATCTCATTTGTTCAAGCAGGAGAAATAGAGACAATAATCTGGGAACTTTTGCCTGGTCCGAGAACAACAGGATGATCAAGGAGGTGGGTCAGGGAGGAGGACTCTCCCCAGCAATTTCTGAGCCCCCGTCCAAACTCTCTCTTACCTTCCACTGAAGAAAGAGGATGTTCATGATGGCAAGGAGAGGGCAAGGGCCGTTAGAGCTCTGGGTGATGATGGGTGTCCGTTCTCCCTTCCAGGGGATCCACTTTACACAGTAGAAATCTAGCTCAGGCTGTCGGGCCCTGGGGGGCAGGGGGAGATCTTGGGGTCTGGAGCAGGCCCCCACTGTCTCTACCTCAGGCTGTGTCCCATGGGCTGGCCCCAGTTGGCTGGAACTCGCATCAGGTGGAGGGGACTCAAGGTTATCCTGGCCCTGGGCCAGCCGCGAAGCTTGTTCTACCGGCGCCTGTTCTCCAGCTGTCCCATCAGCATCTCCAGCATCCTTTAACTGGGGGTGCTCCTCTGGTTGTGGCAGGACCTCATGGTTTTCAGGGCTGACCGCTTCTGCAATCCTGGCCTCACCAGAGGCTGGATGCTCAGCTTGATGGTGTTCCATGGTCAGAAGAGGTCAACTGAGGGGCACCAAAGGACTTTCCTGCCCTCAGGGAGTGGCCTAATCTAGGCTTGGTATGTAAAAAAAAGACCGATCCAATAAGACGGAAGTCATTGGGCTGGAAAGCAAACGGACCCAGAAAAGTCTTGTTAAAGGACTACAGTATGGAAGGCTAGATAGCGTCTACACAGTCACTGCCAGCTACAGGGAGTGCATGTCTTTCTCGGCTGGGTAGACAGAAGGGCCCCAGCCTGAGCTCTTTTCACCTCTCACTTGCTGTGACCACACGGGACCAATGAGGGTGCAGGGCTTTCAGGCTGGGAGGGAGGATTCTGGTAGGATTGACGTCATTGGACGGAGTTAGCGTCCCTAAAACAAGGACAAGGAATGGAAAAAAGATGGAGAGAAAGGGAAAGTAAAAGGAGAAAGACAGAAAGGAAAAAGAGAAAGAAGCGTTAAAACCGTACTATTAACCTTGAACAACCGGTGTTTGAACTGCGCAGGTCCACTATACGCAGATTTTTTTCAGTAAAGACATGAACAGTACTGTAAATGTATTTTCCTTATGATTTTTTGTTGTTGTTGTTGAAGTATAGTTGACACACAATTTACATTACTTTTAGGTGTATTCCTTGTGGTTTTCTTAATAACATTTTCTTTTCTCTAGCTTACTTTATTGTAAGAGTACAGTATATAACACATATAACATACAAAATATGTGTCAATTGACTGTCTATGTTTTTGGTAAGGCTCCAGTCAACAGTAGGCGATTAGTTCAGTTTTGGGGGAGTCAAAAATTATACATGGATTTTCAACTGTATGAATGGTCAGTGTCCTTAACGCCTGTGTTGTTCAAGCGTCTGCTGTGCAAATGGTTATTAATACAGTGATCTTTAGCTCACCCTGTAACAGGCGTCAGGTTGGTAACCCCCACCATAGCCAGGATCGTGGTCATTCCTCTGCCCTACACCAAACCACCCCCCGCCAAGCTGTTCACGGATCATCCAGAGCACAAACAGGAATCCTTTTATTTATTTTTTTTAAAGATTTTATTTATTTGACAGAGAGAGAGCGAGAGAGGGAACACAAGCAGGGGGAGTGGGAGAGGGAAGCAGGCTTCCCGCCGAGGAGGGACCCCGATGCGGGGCTCGATCCCAGGACCCTGAGATCATGACCTGAGCTGAAGGCAGTCGCTTAACCAATGGAGCCACCCAGGTGCCCCCAAACAGGTATCCTTAGGGTTCCCTTTTCTCTGCTCCACCCCAAGCGCGAAAAGATTAACAGCCACAGAGTGCTTGGGGTGAAGAGTGGAGATACAGGTGTATCATGCCCCAAAAGATGCAACACTGGGGAGAAAGAAGTCTTTCTCCTCCAAGGACTCTACTGAACTTTACACAATCCCAAACCACAGCAAAAAGGTTTTGGGAGGGGCTTCCTGTACGCCTGAGAGGGGAAAATGTTGGCCGTGGGGACTTGAATCAGAGACTGGTTCTGGTAAGTAACTTCAGCACAAAAACCACTTCCCTGACAAATTCTGTCAGTAAATTCTTGACAGCTGGAGTTGAGGTACCAACTTCTCTTCAGTTCCTCTCTGCTCCCCAAATCACCTAAACCCAGAGATGCTCTCTTGCCCACTCTTTATATGGAACGTGACAATGCTGATTATTGATTTACATAAGAAATACTCGCTCAGGGGGCGTCTGGCTGGCTCAGTTGGTTGGGCTGCCTACTCTTGATGGTGGACTCTTGATGTCAACTCAGGTCATGACCTCAGGGTTGTGGATCGAGCCCCATGTGTGTCTGTCGGGCTCCATGCTCAGTGGGCAGTCTGCTTGGGGGTTCTCTCTCTCACTCTCCCTCTGCCCCTGCCCTCCACTAGAATTCTCTCTCTCTCTCTCAAATAAATAAAATCTTGAAAAAGAAAAGAAAAGAAATACTCCCTCGTGATGAGCACCAGATGATGTATGGAAGTGTTGAATCGCTATACTGTACACCCGAAACTAATATAACCCTATATGTTAACTAAGTGGAATTAAAATAAAAACTTAAGAAAAAAGAAAAGGAAATACTCCCTCTGCATTCATCTACCTGCCTCTGCATATGTTCTTCTGTCTGTTCCCACCTAGGTCATCTTAGATGCAAACCCTGGACCTGTTTAACCTGCTCTCTCTCTATCGGCACTAAGCATCGAGTCCAGCACAGACATTTCATTAAGGCTGTGGATAGCAAACAATAAAAAGCCATAAACCCTGTCCCCTGGAAAACATCTCCCTTCAACCTCCTAGCTCTCCTCTCCCCCTTACTCAGGGTAAGAAAAGGGGAGAAATGAGACTTGTCAGAAATCTTGTCTTTTCTCCAGCTCCCTCCTAACCTGACACCATGCTTCCTTCTTGTAAAGCGGCAGGAATTCGGGGCTAGGTTAAGGCCTGGGACATGAAGTTGAAAGACAGAAAAGTTACCAAAAGAAGCCTGGTCACCCCAATTGATCCTCCTTCTGCTTCAAATATAACTTATGCTAGCTGCGTCTCATTTACATGTTGTTAATTTAGAATCAGACTAGCAAAAATTGCCTGAGCACCTTACTTTTTTTTTTTTTTTTTTTGGTCTCTCGTCTCCTTTTCCGCTCCCCTCCCAAATGACAGTTAGGCTGAGCCTTGGAAGCAGAAACCAGAGCCTTAGAAAGTTAAAAGAGCCTGGAGAAAAGCATCATTCATTTCTTATCTTTTGTGTCCAATGCTAGAAATGATCAATAATTCAGTGGGGGTTGGGTGGCTAGCTGGCCAGGGGGATGAGCCAAAAGGAACCAGAGGGTTTCTGGAAACCGGAGGGAGCTGGGTCTCGGAGAAACTGCGCTGAGTCTTAAGAGATGGAATGAAGATAGCTACTCTACAAGGTGCACTCCTGGAGGAGTGGGCACCAGCATGTCTGAGCAGGAAAGGATGAGGGGGCGGGCACTCAAACAAATCAGGATTTCATTCTTTTCCTCTTCTTTTCTCAAGTCCCACGCATTCTCTCCTGCTGGAATTATCCTCTGGTGGTGGGTGAGGGAGGTAAAATAGCCCTGGCCCCTCCCTCGTGGTGGCAGTAAATAGCCAGAAGTTGGAAGAAGCATATAAAATGGGCGGATAGCTTCAGTAACACACGCACACCCCCAGGAACTTTCCCACTGCCATCTCCTTCTCAGTCTGACCCAAGTCTTCATGCAACTACTGGTTTAAAATTTTGCCCCCAAAGGGGCGCCTGGGTGGCTCAGTCGGTTGAGTGTCTGCCTTCGGCTCAGGTCATGATCCCGGGATCCTGGAATCGAGCCCTGCATCGGGCTCCCTGCTCCTCGGGAAGCCTCCTTCTCCCTCTCCCACTCCCCCTGTTTGTGTTCCCTCTCTCTGTCAAAAAAATAAATAAAATCTTTAAAAAAAAGAGAGAGAGAAAATTTTGCCCCCAAATAAGTCAACCACCTCTACCATGCCCTATTTGCTTGCAAGTGAAAGGGTGAAGTTTTCCTTACACGAAGGAAATGCAGAGACCAAGCTCATCCCTTTTACGTATCCCTCCTGCCTTAGCTCCACTCAAAATCCAGACTTGTAGAGACCAAAAGTGGAGGGACATTTCATGTCACCTCCCCAGAGCTGCAGAGGAAAATGAGAACTGGGCGGGGGGCAGGGGTGGGGGTAAAGGAAACGGTTAAAACAAAGTTTTTACCTTAAAGAAGTGGGTGCTGTTCCAGGATAGAGGAGGAGGGTCCAGCAGTGGCAATTCGATGAGGAAGGTGGCTATAACGAGGGGCGCTGCCACAGTCCCAGCTGCCTTCCAGCTGTCAAGGCCAGAGCTGATCCAGGTCTACACAGGTTTATGAGCGCCTGTCCCGGCTTGGTGGTGGCCACTTCCGGACTCACGCCCACGACTGGGGTCACCAGAGGAGGGTGGGGGGCATGCAGAAGTGCAGCCCAGGTGCTCCCAGGCCGCTCAGAGCGTCTTCAGGATTCCTGAGTTGCCGAGTCTAGGGCGTGCACTCCAGGCCCTGACTACAAGCTGGTTTTCAAAGGAAGTTTGTGGTTTTTCTTTTTTCTTTCTCTCTCTTTTTTCCCATCGGGACAAAGAAAAATTAGTCAAGGACAAGCTCCCTGGAGGAGGAGGGGCTTGCCCAGCACTGGAGAATTTCCATCAGGGCTTTCTGACCTGGTCAGCAGCTTGGTGATCAGCAGTGAGAGAGAGAGAGAAACAAGGAGAGAAAAACAACAGACCCTTTCTCTTCCCTCCGCCTGCTGCTGGAAGGGACGGAGCGCTTGTGCCTCTCTGGTGAGAATAGGGAAGAGCAAGTGCCCTTGCTGATCGTGGGGAGGAGCAAGGCTGGACAGCAGCGGCTGGTTGGATTTGGGCTTTCTCAGTGGGTTTGGCAGGCCTTTGCTCTGGATCCACAGAAGCAGGGCCAAAGAGCATGATATTTGCATATTTACTCATTTAAAGTTAAAAAAATCCTGCTACTTTCCAAGCCCTTACTGTATCTTTTTGTGTGTGTGTGGGTCTAGAAATGGAACTGGTTGGGCACAAGGTGTGGAAGATTCCCTAGGCTCTGGGAAGAGAGGCGGCAGGGAGAGAACTAGCTGAGCAAGCAGGAGATCCAATACCCCTGTGCTCCGGTACTTGTTCCCAGCACAGGCCTCAGCTTCTCATGGGTCACCTCCTTTCAATTCTTGGGGGGGCCAGGAAGGAGGGGGAGCAGGAAAAGCTGGCAGTAAGAAATAAAAGGATGGATCAATAAAGGAGGGGGCGTTTGTTGATAAGAGTACACTTATTTGCAGTACTCTGCATTACCGTGGGGCTGGAAGGTGGCAATTAAGGGAGGTTGGAACCCAGCTCTACATTCTGAAGGGCCCTCCTAACTTGACTTACAGGGCTGCCGCAGGATGAAACTTCAAGCAACTCTGAAGGCTGAAAGGGCAGTTTGAACAATTAGGGAGGCAGGGAGCAAAACACCCAGGTTACAACAGTCCAGAAAAAGGAAGAGTCATTTGCCGAGGCTGTAGATAAACAGGCTACTACTGAGTTGTAAAGGAAGTAGCAGCAGGAATTGGCAAGAGACCGTAGGTATTAAGGAGTCAAAGATTATTTTAATGTTTTTATAACATGGACAGCAGAAAATTGGCAGCAGGTCAGTTTGGTAAAGGGGAGATTCCGAGAAAGGAAGACTGTTTTTGCTTTTGTAATTTAAGATGTCAATCCCAGATGCTCGGTGTAATATATGGAAAGATGCTATACTTAGCTTGACTCGAAAGGGAAAGTTTAGATGCCACAAACATAGGTTACTGTGACACATACACATTTCTCTGTTAAATTAGTAATCTCGGAAAATTCTCTTTCCCTCCATTCTTGGGGCCATTTCGGAGCTCCTAGACTACGTTTCCCAGGACGCCCTGCGCCAAGCCCCGCTTCGCGCCTCTGGGAAGGGGGTCCCGTGAGTCTCTGGGCGCGGAGCTCCGCCTCCACCGCTGGGGGCGGGGCGACGGCGGACTCCGGGAGCGCCGGATTACGCACTTCCTCCGGGGGTTGGGGCCGAATCGCTGTGTGGCGGGTTCGAGTCCCGCCTCCTGACTTTCGCCCGTAGCCCCTGAGTCCCGGGCGGGGCGCATTCTCCTGGTACCCTCTCCACGGACAGGAGCGGTGGCACACCTGGGACTTCACCATGGAGGACTACCTGCAGGGTTGTCGAGCCGCTCTGCAGGTAACGAATCCCGGTCTGTGATCGTAAGGAATGAAGCATGAGGTCCAGAAAGAACGAAGATGTGAGATCTCGGGAGCCCCGACGGTGTGGGGAGGGAACATGGAATTGTGGGGAGGGGGCTTGGGATCAGATCAAGCTTGGGGTCGCGGGGAGTGAGGAACGAGAACCTAGCTCTGGGGAATGCTGCTCAGTCTCCCGGGTTTTGGCTTCTGCCTTTGGGGTCTCCCCAAGAGCTGCGAGGAGGAATCGTGGATCTGGGACCTGCATCTGAGCCTCTGCTCGCTGTCTCCTGTGTCAGTTCCGTCAAAAGGTGGAGGGGCTGTGCCGCCGCCTGTGGTGCCGCGCGAGGTGTATTTATCCTTTTCTCCCCGCCCCTGTTTCAGTTCACCACTCACCCGGCCTCCTTGGCCCATTGGCCTCCAGGTGAGCCCCGGAGGTACGGGAGAACCTGTGCCCACGGCCTTATTGCCTTAGAAGAGCTGTTTCTGTCTGGCGGGTCGAACTCATTCTAGATTAGAGAATCATGTTTTACTTTAAATCAGTTTTTAAGCTAAACATGCTCAATACTGCAGGCATATGTGTTCTTGACCCAAAACTTGCATTCCTTTGCCTCCAGTTTTCTTCTGTGGCCTTAACGCACATAAATTACGTAAGAATCCTCCGCCTGGAAGGGATAAGCCCAAAGTGTGTTTGGAATCAAAACTATAAGCTTGACTTATTTTTGGTACTTATTGTGGCTTATTTTTGGTACTCTGAGCTAGTTGGAATCTCCCAGCCATGTGGACTGGTCAGGCAGCATTTGGCTGCTATTCCCAGTTAGCAGAGAGGCTCTCTAGGAGGTCACCAGGCCCCCCCACTTCAAGTTACACTGCCCATGTGGAGACGTAGACAGATGGTTGACTATGCTTCCTTTCTAAGTGTCTTAAACTCTGCAAATTACCCTGGCCGATAAATTCTGGTCTTTAACAAATCCTAAAAGTCACCTTTTTACTTCTGTGGACTCGGCTGCTGAAGCATAGAGGTGAAGGACAATTTTAATATTAGCAATTGCACCAAATTTTTCCTTCTGAAATACAAATTTGGGGAAAGTTGATTTAATGCATAGGGCAATTTGGAACCATTTCGTTTGGTTACCTCTGATTTCCACCACTGGGAGCTCACTGGAGGACCAATGTAGAATCTTCGTGGCACTGTTCTGAGTGCTCAGCAGAGGAATTTTCCCCCCATAATAACCCAAATGACGAGTCTCCTTTCCACCATTTGGTAAAGAGCCCTTGGACCTGAAACCTCACCAAATAGCCTTTCATTGCATGCATCTATCTTTCAGCATCTATGCTTTAGAGTCCCCCCAGGTTAACAGCATATCTCGTACAGCAGTATGAAGCTGAAAAATACTGGGTTTTTCCAGTATTGCTGGTATCCTGACCTTTTTTTGCCTGCATTCATCTCCTAAGGAGCAAGATCTAGATCTTTCTTTTTCTGAACTTGTGAAGGTGAGGTTGTGTCTTAGAGTCCTTCTTATCACACAGCCTAGCCAGGGCTGGGAGAAATGAGAAACCGGACTCTAGGAATGTTAGTGGAGGAACTGGTGGCTGGACATACAGGTGGTGGCCAACAACTTAGATAGCTTTTAATTATAGAAGTGGTAAATGCACACAGTGAAAAAACCTAAATACAAAGAAGATATGAAATGAAAACAAGATCTTTTCTTCTCCTCATCCCGTTCCCCAGAGGCCGCACTGTTGTTTGTTGTGTAAAGAAAGACATGATTTAGATAGAGATTCTGTTAAGTTTGAGTGTTTCCGTTAAGCTATGTTAACTTTTCGGGAAATGTGGATGCTTGACTTTTACACAGGATAGAGACAGCTTATAACCAGCCAACTCTCCTGTTGATACCAGATTTTTTTCTCTGGCATCTGATAACAGAGACATTTTCTGCAGCCTCTGCCACAACGATAGTAGGATGTTCCATTTAAAAGAAATCCTGTTTAACTAAATGTCCTATTCATGGTGACTCATCTTTCACTACTAGTGGGGAAGAACCTTTGCTTCAGGGTGGAGCCACATTCAAGTGTGGGTATTCATCCAGCAGCCTTCAGATAATCCGCGTTGTCTGCACTACTCATTGCGGAAGGCAGGAATCGGGAGTGGCTGGCTATCCTGAAGACACCATAGTCCTTTCGTCAGTATCGGTACCGTTTTCTGTGCTGGGAGGGCTTCTCTATCTCTGGCTCCCTGTCTCCTTTTTTTCCTCCCTCATTAGCTATTTTGTAGAGGAGGCACCAGACCATATTCAGCTTCAGAAGGCTGGTGGTTGCTTTTGCCAGCCCTAGAGCCGATCCTCACTTCCCGCATTGGGGTCACAAAGAGCATCAGGATCTAATCATTGTGACTAGTGGGTTTGGGTGTTTTTTTGTTTATTGGTTTCTTTGTTAGGAAGAAAAGTTTATATTTACTTGGGGCTCTCAGATTGTATTTCTTCCATTGGCGGCTCAGGTTTCCTCATGCTCTAAGTATAGCAGCATCTGCCCTCACCTCTTCCTCTGATGGTCAGAAAAGCGAGATTATTTGGCTTGTGCTCTCAGCTGGTGGAGGATGCGGTGGGGTGGGGGTTAAGAGTTACACATGTTTTTCCTAAATGAAGAGAAGGGTGCCTTTTAAGTAGGGCAGCCCAGGACAGTTTTAGTTTATTTGCACATAACCATTTATTGCATCCCTTTTCATTTTCAAAGTGTTTCTGTTTGAACAACAGAGTGTTTAGTCGCCAAAGTCATAAACTATGTTCAAGATTAAGATACATGCCCACGAAAAGATAGCGAGTTCCTTAAGGTAGGAGTTCCATATGAGTGCTGGCAGCTGGAGGTCTGGAGGAGGAGGGTTGCTGTGGTCTGGGTGGAAAGGGAAGGCGACACGGAGACAGGGGCTTTAGGTGGCGTGAATGGACCAGGAGGGACGGGTAGAGAAAGAAGATGGAAGGCAGCTCATCTTTCCAACCACAGAGTAGGCACTTACAGGCTATCTCATTTAATCCTCATAACAACTTCATGAAACTGGTTACAGTATTATCATTTTTAAAACCAAAAATGAAGCTTAGAGAGGCCCAAGTCCCACAACAAGTAAGAAGCAGAGCCGGGGGTGGGGGGTGCACTTGGGTGGCTCCGACCGTTGGGCGTCTGCCCAGGTCATGATTCCTGGGGTCCTGGGATCGAGTCCCACATCGGGCTCCCTGCTCAGCGGGGAGCCTGCTTCTCCCTCTGCCTGCCGCTCCCCCTGCTTGTGTGCGTGCTCTCTCTCTATCAAATAAATAAAATCTTTAAAAAAAAAAAGAAGAAGAAGAAGAAGGAAAAGAAGCAGCAACAGAGCAGGGATTTAGCGTAGTCTATGGTCTCTTCAAATGGCAGTTCTGCTGCTTTCTGACAGAGAAGAACAGAGTGCGAAGGACAGAGCTGGGAATATGCACAGCACGTTTTGTGGGTGGTGCATAGACCGGACAGGCTGGGGTGGTGGTGGGCCCTGACAGGGAGAGGAAGGCCACCACAGCCCCTGCTCAGTCCTTTCCAAGATATGGCAAAAGTCCCAGAGGATTGCTTTTGTATTCATTCCTTGTGGCTGCTCTCTTGGCTTGCCTGAGCAAGGGATTAGTTATTCACCTTCCTGTGGATTTCATTTCTCCTCAGAGTCACAGACTTAGTTGTATGTGGTCCCTACTTTCTGCTTTTCTGCTTAGCCTTCTCCGTGCTGGGGATCTGACCGGTCCTGATTCAGCTGAAGCAGAAGCAGCACTAATGTGAGTTTTGGAAAGTTTTCTTCGGGGGCCCAGCACTAGGTCTGTCCCACTTGCTCTGCCTTTTCTCCGTTCTGCATCCCTTTTTTCTCCAGAGTCAGAACCATATGGCCACGCGTGTTTATGACACAGTTCCCTTTCTAGGGAACATGGTGCCCGCCTTACTGCTTCAGTGAACTCATTATCTCTGCAGCCACTTATGTCGAGTGCTTTGTTGTCACTTCGGTCCACAGCCATCTGGGCAGTTCTTGGTATCCAGGAAACAGGGGGACTTTCTCTGGTACCCGGAGGAGGAATTGCAAGTTAGAGGAGTTACTGTAGGACTGAATTCTTGTATAATGTAGGAAAAGACTTTAATATTGGAAAGAATCTCCGCTCTCCCCTACTGTTCAGTATGAGCGGGTCTGGGCTGCCACCCTCGTGAGGTAGGCTGAGAGAAACGGTGCAGGGAAGAACCTAAGGGCAAACTTTCCCCAGAAGTCCTCTCTGCAAAACCTCGACAGGTAACTTCTGCCTTTTGTACTTCTCTGGGGGGTTGGGAGTAGGAGATGCGGAAAAAGGTGGTTTAAAAATAGAAACCTGGGGCGCGTGACAGGCTCAGTTGGAAGAGCATCTGACTCTTGATCTCTGGGGTGTGAGTTGGAGCCCCATGTTGGGTGTAGAGATTACTTAAATAAAACTTAAAAAAAAATCTATTTAGGGCAATTTATACCACTAGAAGTCTTATAAAATTGTACCTTTCTGGCTGTAGCTTCCTGGGGAAGGGAGGGGAGTGGGTAACAGCCAAAGAGGCAAGATGATTCTAGGTTCACCTAGATTCCCTTTCCTCCTATAGTTACATTACTTGATAACTGTTGATTGCTGTGTTTTGCTCCCCTGAACCCCTTTCCTACTTTTTGAAACTCTTGCATCTAGCAAATCTTTCCTGATTGAAGATGTCAGATTGTTTGGATTTTCACCTGTCTGTAACCCAGTAGTTCTCAGCTGGTGGTGATTTTTGCCTGCCCCAGGAATATTTGGCAAATCTGGAGACATTTTTGATGTCATGCCTGAGGGTGCTACTGGCATCTAGTGGGTAGAATCCGGGGATGCTGCCAAACATACTCCCTCGCACAGGACAGCCCCCACCCACAACAAAGAATGATCCAGTCCAAAATGCCAATAGCACTGAAATTAGGAAACTGCTATAAGGTATGTCTCATTTTATCTCTCATCCCTTCCTCTGTCAGAAGCAGGCTGAAATAGAAGTTCAAAAATAAACTGGTAAGAGAGAATTCTTGTGCCCTAAGCTGAGCCATGGACTTTATGGTCTTTTATCTGGCAGAATGCTCATTCCTGGAATGAAATAATAATTCCTTTTTTTTTTTTAAGATTTTTGTTTATTTATTTGTCAGAGAGAGGGAGCACGAGCAGGGGGAGCAACAGGCAGAGGGAGAAACAGGCTCCCCGCCGAGCAAGGGTCCCAATGCAGGGCTCGATCCCAGGACCCCAGGATCATGACCTGAGCCGAAGGCAGATATTTAACCAACTGAGCCACCCGGGTGTCCCTACTTCAACCTTTCTGTGCTCAGTTTCCTCATCTTCAAAACAGAGATAACCAACTGAGCCACCTAGGTGTCCCTGAAATAATAATTCTTTTTTTTTTTTTTAAAGATTTTTATTATTTATTCATGAGAGACGGAGAGAGAGAGAGAAGCAGAGGGAGAAGCAGGCTCCCAAGGAGCAGGGAGCCCGATGCGGGACTCGATCCCAGGGCCCTGGGATCATGACCTGAGCCGAAGGCAGACGCTTAACCATCTGAGCCACCCAGGCGCCCTGAAATAATAATTCTTAAAGTACCCACCTCTTTGGGGTTGTTTTGAAGATTAAATGGTTAGTTCATGCATGTAAAAATATTAGAGCAATGCATGGCACACTCAATAAAATAAATGTTTCCAAACAAAGCAAAATCCTGCTTTGTCTCTGCTATTGTGGGCACTGTAGTTTTAATGTATTTTATTTAAGATTCTGATAGCTAGGGAAATGCAAGAGAACAAGGTTAGTAATAGCAGATACTCCTCCCTCCTTGGTTCTTATTAATAGCTGGACTTCTCAAGCTTTAAAAATAAAAGTTCCAGGGCTCCTGGCTGGCTCAGTCGGTGGAGCATGCAATTCATGATCTCAGGCTCATGAGTTCGAGCCCCACATTTGGTGTAAAGATTATTTAAAAATAATAGTAAATAATACATTATAAAAATAAATTATAAAAATAAAAGTTCCAGCAGCAGCAGCTGTTCTTGTTTTTTTTTTTTCTTTTTTTAAAAGATTTTATTTATTTGACAGAGAAAGACACAGTGAGAGAGGGTACACAAGCAGGGGGAGTAGGAGAGGGAGAAGCAGGCTTCCCGCAGAGTGGGGAGCCCGATGCGGGGCTCGATCCAGGACGCTGGGATCATGACCTGAGCCGAAGGCAGATGCTTAATGCCTGAGCCACTCAGGCACCCAACTGTTCTTGTTTTAATCTGAACCTGCTGGGGAGAGTGTCTGTCCTGGGTAGTGAGAGTGTTGGTTATATCTGCTTATCATTGAGGCTTCTCAGGGTTGGGGGAGTTTTCATGGGCTGGATAACTCTACTAGATTTTATTTGTACCTTTATTTTCAAGAGCTCTTCACCTCTTATGATTTAGAAGTATAAGGATGCTTTTCCCTATTTTGAAAATGGCAGGGGTCAGAGAACAGAAAAACAAACTGGGGTTGATATGGCTTGAATACATCAGCTACCTCAACTGCTCTACCTTTGATTTCTCAAGTGCCCAAGGAAGCAAAAGAAGTTAGAGATTTATTTACTGCTATTCTTTTTTAAGTTGATAATCAAGGAGATGGTGTAGTAGAAGAAAGGGCACTTTTCTACTTACTGGATATGTGTGGAATGCTTAAATTTAGCTAAACACAGGTGGCCTCTCAGCCATTTCTTCATCCATGAAATGAGGACCTGTAAGATTATCTGACCTACCAGGGTGTCTGGGTGGCTCAGTCGTTCAGCGTCTGCCTTCAGCTCAGGTCATGAGCCTAGGGTCCTGGGATCGAGCCCCGCATCGGGCTCCCTGCTCCGCGGGAGGACTGCTTCTCCCTCTCCCACTCCCCCTGCTTGTGTTCCCTCTCTCACTGTCTCTCTCTCTCTCTGTCAAATAAATAAATAAAATCTTAAAAAAAAAAAAAGATTATCTGACCTACCTCCTCTGTGAAGATCAGTGAGGAGAGGTGTGTGAAGCCCTGCTCACATATAAGGTAAATGGAAATAGAGATGCTTCTGCTAGTGTCCCATTCTCCTTCCTCACCAGGAGTCCCGGCCGCTACACATCGTGCTGGGAAATGAAGCCTGTGACTTGGACTCCATGGTGTCAGCTCTTGCCCTGGCTTTTTACCTGGCAAAGGTGAGTACTTAGCAACAGAGTCCCTTAGAATGAAAAGATCTGGATGCAAGTCCCAGCTCTGCTACTTAACACTATTTAGTCTTGGGTCAGTTAAATTCCTTGACTTTGCTGAGTCTCAGGTCACCATCTGTAGAATCTGAAATGATACTATTTTGCAATGTTGCTGGGAGGATCAAATGAGTAGATGTATTTTGAAGAAATCGTAAATCATAAAGCAATATTCGAACAGTTGATTATTGAGTTCTTCTGGGTACCAGTGATCTCATGCCCAGGTCAGTTTTTGAGGACTGATAATCCCTTCTCTGCAGCATCTAGAACTAGGTCTTTTCCATGAGTTATCTTGTTGACCTTCATGTTATGCTAAGAAGGAAAGAGGGCAAGAGTTGTCCTTTTTTTTTTAATTTTTTTTTTTTTTTAAAGATTTTATTTATTTATTTATTTATTTGACAGAGACACAACGAGAGAGGGAACACAAGCAGGGGGAGTGGGAGAGGGAGAAGCAGGCTTCCCACTGAGCAGGGAGCCCGATGCGGGGCTCGATCCCAGGACCTGGGATCATGACCTGAGCCGAAGGCGGACCTTAACGACTGAGCCACCCAGGTGCCCTGGTCCTTTTATTTGTTTATCAGCTGGGTAATTGTGGCTTTGAGAAAGTCAGTGACTTACCCAAGATCACATCTCCTTTAGTCCCAATAATTTTGTTATTTTTCCTGTTTATTCCAAAACATTGCCATGTGTTCTTTTCACTTTCCTTATCCAGACGACAGAGGCTGAGGAAGTCTTTGTGCCAGTCTTAAATATAAATCGTTCTGAGCTACCTCTACGAGGTGACAATGTCTTCTTCCTTCAGAAGATTAACATTCCAGAGTCCCTCTTGATTTTCCGGGATGAGATTGACCTCCATGCCTTGCACCAGGCTGGCCAACTCACCCTTATCCTTGTTGACCATCATGTCTTACCCAAGTAAGTAGAAGGAAGTTAAGCCGATATTTATCATGTGCCATGTTGAGTTCTGATGATTAAGAAATAAAGAGAGGAAGAAAGAATTTCTGCTCTTGGGATCTCACAGGCTAATTGTAATTGCTGGGTCAAGTCAGATATAGAAAATCAACAGAAAATATTGTCAGTTCTCCAGTTATGCAAGTAACAAAAAGAAATAGAAACATGGAGAGGTGAAACTAAAGGAGAACTCAGAAATCATTTAAAGCTGCCTTTGGTATCACTATTTTGTGGCAGATTTGTTGTAATAGAAGCTTTTGAATAATGGTTACAACTCTATTTTTAATTTTTAAAAAGCAAAATTATTTCCTACATAAGGCAGTATCTCATTAGTTGCATTGTGATGGGTGTTGGAGGTGTGTGATAACCGATACTCTAGAGGCCAAGAGGTGCACGAAGGACGGGGTAGTTAAATATACTCAAGGGGAGTAGAGGGTGTGAGGAAAGGTTTCCTAAGAGGGTTGACCCTTGATCTCACTCTTGAGTGTTTGCTCCTGGAGTGGGGAGGCAAGGTAGTTAGGAAAAGCATCCAGGCAGAGAAAGGAATTAATATAAGCAAAGGCAGACAGGCATGAAGTAGCATGGTAAATTGGCAGAACTAGAATTTGTTTTGCATGGCTGGAGCATAAAATGAGACAGAGAAGTAGGACAGAGGAAGAGGTGAGACTAGGGAGGTCAGTGGGGGCCAGATCGTAGGCCCTGCCAAGGAGACAAGACTTGGTGTTAGGGTAGTGGGGAACTATTGGGAGTTATATTTATTCCAGATCCTAACCAAATCAAATCTGCATTTTTCAAACGATCGTTCAGCAGCTTTGTGGAGGACAGCACAGGGGGGCCCAAGATCGGGAGTTGGTCTTTGGTTAGGAGACTGTTGGAATAATCCAGGTGAGAGATACTGAGGGCCAAGAATAAGGCACTAGCAGAGCCATGGTGGTGGTGGTTGGGGGGTGGGTAGAAAAGATAGAAGCCATAGAATCTGATGAACTGTGTGGAATTTGGGTATTAAGTGGATTGAGATGACAGGAGAGATTTAGATGTTGGATGCCAAGGGTGTCAATCCAAAAGGCAACTTTGAAGGATGTCAAATACTTGTAGATACTTGTAGCTGATACTTCACCAAGTTCACTTATACACTATTTAAAGATGACTTCAGTTACAACACGTAAGAAAAGAATTGAGAACAGCGAGGCAGAGGTAGAAGTGACCAAAGTTGTGAATGTTTGCCGAAGATGTGCATTTTCCTTCACGGGTGAGGTGGAGATTTGGTTAGAACCAGCCGGAGTGCCCCTACGCATCTTTCCTTCTCTTTTCCCTGCACCCCACTTCCCCACACAGAGGTGACGCAGCCCTGGAGGAGGCGGTAGCCGAGGTGCTAGACCATCGGCCCATCGAGCAGAGGCACTGCCCTCCCTGCCACGTGTCGGTGGAGCTGGTGGGGTCCTGCGCTACCCTGGTGACCGAGAGAATCCTGCAGGGGGCACCAGAGATCTTGGACAGGCAAACTGCAGCCCTTCTGCACGGTGAGGGTGGCTTTCGGGTCAGGAGAGGGGAAAAGTCTATTTTTTTTTAAGTCTAGATCCTCATTCCTTTTTTTTTTTTTTTTAAGATTTTATTTATTTATTTGTCAGAGAGAGCACAAGCAGGGGGAGTGGGGGAGGGAGAAGCGATGTGAGACTCAATCCCAGGACCCCAGGATCATGACCTGAGCTGAAGGCAGATGCTTAACGACTGAGCCACCCAGTTTTCCCGAGAGTGGAAAAGTCTAGACTTCCAGCTTGATCATCCCTCTCCAAGCGATCCCGTCCATTTCAAAGGCTGGGTCCTTTCAGGGGACAATTAGACATTAAAAGGCTGTGGTGAGGGGCGCCTGGGTGGCTCAGTCGGTTAAGCGTCTGCCTTCGGCTCAGGTCATGATCCCAGGGTCCTGGGATCAAGTCCCGCATCCCGGGCTCGCTGTGCAGTGAGAGCCTGCTTCTCCCTCTGTCTGCCGCTCTGCCTACTTGTGCTGTCTCTCTGTCAAATAAATAAATAAAATCTTTAAAAAAAAAAAAAAAAGGCTGTGGTGAAAGCAGAAAGGAAGCACAGGACAATAGACCTAGAGGCTGCCTACTGCAGCATTGTATGATGGAAACAGAACCAGCCACAGAAGCAGGGAACGGATTCTAATACCATTCCTGTCCAGGAGGTTGTTATGTGACCTTGAGCAAGTTTCTTAACCTTTCTTGGTCTCATTTTCTCCATTTGTAAAAAAAAAAAAAGAGAGAGAGAATTGGATTAGACTATCTCTTATGACTTCTAAGTTTCTTTAATGGAATTTGGCCTACAGAAGGGAGGTCATCTCTCTCTGACTTGGTTTCAAGATCTCCGATGATTGCGGTGCTCAGGCACCCTTTCTGCCTTTTCCCCATTTTCCTGCCTACATTTTAATTTGTATTTGGGAAGTCTTACTCAAGACATAGTCCCAGTTTCTTGTTTTGTTTTCAGTGAGTTTGCCACACGGTCTTCTCTGTATTAGGTCCATTCGGTTTGAGGGTTATGTGTGTTCTAGTGGTTGTGAATGGAAGGCCATAGGATTTGAGTTTTGTCTCGTCTCCACAGGAACAATCCTCCTGGATTGTGTCAACATGGACCTGAAAGTTGGAAAGGCAACTGCAAAAGACAGCAAATATGTGGAGAAACTGGAGGCCCTCTTCCCTGATCTACCCAGAAGGAATGACATCTTTGACTCTCTACAAAAGGCAAAGTTTGATATATCAGGTATGAAACAGTAAACTGACTTCTCTCCCTTCCATGCGAGAAAGCAGATGGGCGAGACTTGTTCATTGTATTCTTTTTTTTTTTTTTTTTTTTAAGATTTTATTTATTTATTTGACAGAGAGAGACACAGCCAGAGAGGGAACACAAGCAGGGGGAGTGGGGGAGGGAGAAGGAGGCTTCCCGCCGAGCAGGGAGCCCGATGTGGGCCTTAATCCCAGGACCCCAGGATCATGTTTCGAGCCAAAGGCAGACACTTGACTGAGCCACCCAGGCGCCCCATTTTTTTTTTTTTTTTTTTTTTAGAGAGAGAGAAGAGAGTGCGCGGACTTGGGGGCGAAGGCACAGAGGGAGAGCAAAAAATCCTAAGCAGGCTCCACGCTCAGCATGGAGCCCAATGTGGGCTCGATCTCATGACCCTGAGATCAAGACCTAAGCTAGAATCAAGACCAACTGAGCCACCTGGGTGCCCTGATTGTTCATTGTATTCTTGAACACCACTGAAACAATTTCAGAGCATGCATGATGATTTAAGCTTTATAGCAGAGAGAACCAAGGTAGTATGTGAGTCTGATTGTGAACTTATGAATCATTTACTGGATTGCTCTATCCTGGCTACTGGGTAGGAAGAGGAGGAATATACGAGTGTCAGGTTTCTGGTCTAATCAGAGAATATAGGTATATAAGTAAAGTCTGCTGAAGGAATACTAAGTTATCTGAGTGAGATCTAGATGATTGTTTAGGGAAGCAGAAGAAACATTGAGGGTGAATATGAGGACAAAGGAGGAGAACAAAAAAAACTTCCATAATTTTTTACCCAGATACCACCTGTTGACATAAAAAAAAAGGAAAGAAAAGTACTACATGTACTTGTAGAAAGTTAAAACTGTGCAGAAAGGGGAAACAGCAACTATTGCGACTCAGTTATTTAAAATAATGTTTTTTTATGTAATTACATTCTTGGTTATCTCCCCTATTCATTGCCCCTCAGAGAGAGGCTGTGTTTTTCGTCATCCTTGACCCGTCCTGGTGTCCTCACCTTTCTGGTCTGGGGACCCTGGGCTCTCCTGTTTGACCCCTGGTCTCAAATCCATTGTCTAGGACTGACCACTGAGCAGATGCTGAGAAAGGACCAGAAGACCATCTCCAGACAAGGCACCAAGGTGGCCATTAGTGCAATATATATGGATTTGGAGGTAAGAGCAAAGTGTAGGTGTGGGTGGGAGAGAAAGCCCTCAGTTATGTGCATAACCTTGCTCCTCACTCCTGGCTCCTGTCCGTAATATGTCTTGTACCTGGGTACCTTCGGTCGTGTCTGCTGGCACTCCCACAGTCCATGAGCTCTCACTGCACCACTGTGATAGGCTGCATACTGGTTTCCCTACTTCTGCTTTTGCACCCTACAAAGCACTCTCCCCACAGCGGCCAGAGTGATCTCTTTATAAGATGTAGGTCCGAAAAAAACAAAAAAGATGAAGTCAATCACATCAGCCTTCTCCCTCTGCTGCCTTTTCATTGCATTCCTTTTTTTTTTTAAGATTTTTATTTATGTGTTTGTTTATTTGACAGAGATAGAGCACACAATCAGGGGGAGTGGCAGGCAGAGAGAGAGAGAGAAGCGGGCTCTCCGCGGAGCAGGGAGCCCAACACAGGGCTCCATCCCAGTACCCTGGGATCATGACCTGAGTGAAGGCAGACGCTTAACCGACTGAGCCCCCCAGGCGCCCCTTTTGCATTCCTAACAGAATTTAAAGGCCCTGCTGTGGTTTACAGGGCCCTCCTTGATCTGGCCCTCGCCTCTCTCTCTCTGACCTCATCTCCTTCCAAGCCCCACTCCTGCACTCACAGTGCTATAGGCACACTAATTTTCTTTCTGTTCATTGGAACCATTAAGCTCATTCACACCTCAGGGCCTTTGCACTGGCTTTTGCCTTTGCAGAGCTGGCTCTTATCACTCAGGTCTTAATTCAGATGTCTCCTCTTTTAAGAGGTTTTTCCTGACCACTGTAACTGACATAATATTCTCTGTGCTCAAAAATCTAACAATTTTTGAATTTTGTTCATAGCATTTAATGGACTGAAGTAATCAATTTCATGGTTTCCTTGTTTATTGTCTATATTCCTCTGGTAGTTTATCAGCTCCACCAGAGGTAGGACCCTGTTTCTTTTGTTTCTGCTGTATCCGTAGCACCTTTGGCAGTATCTGGCAATAGTGGGTACTCGGTAAATTTTGTTGACTGGGTGACTGAATATAAGTTTGATAATGGTATTTTACTACCTGGTTCCATGTCATATTGATTTACATCATTTGACAACCTGATCTGAACACATTCCCTCATAGTCTGTACAGCTTTCTACTAAATACTAAGTAATTTCAAGAAAACAAAAGAGCCCGGTCTTTCCCCTTGCTGCCTCGTTTGAGAAACAAACATAAGAACAGAGAAGCCTTGCCAAGTAGCATACATTGACACAATATAAATCGACACATTAGAAATGCCAAGGATAGAGCAAAGCCCTGATCTGAAATAGCTGGCAGTATCATCCAGTAGAAAAAATACTACCTGAGACTGTGGAGAAGATTCGAGTTTGGCAAAGAACAAAGAGCCAAGGGTGCAGGCATCCCGTGTCTGTTGTTATTGGTATGCCCCATTGTTCTGTTTTAGAATAAAAATAGCTCCAAGGCAAAGGCCTTGCTTGTTTGATGGCAAGAACAGGAGAGCCTTGTACGTGCCAAGCATGTTCCTTACATGATCATGCTTTAAGTTTTAAAACAGTCACTTTTGGGGCACCTGGGTGGCTCAGTCGTTGAGCGTCTGCCTTCGGCTCAGGTCATGATCCCGGGTCCTGGGATGGAGCCCCGCATCGGGCTCCCTGCTCCGCAGAAAACCTGCTCCTCCCTCTCCTACTCCCCCTGCTTGTGTCCCTCTCTCACTGTGTGTCTCTATCTCTCTGTCAAATACATAAATAAAATCTTTAAAAAAAAATCGCTTTTGACAAAGGTTCTAGCCTCATTTTACAAATGAAGAAACTCAAGTCCGAGGAGCTTACTATACAACACCGTGATCATATAGCTAATAGGTCATAGAGCTGATTTTCAAACCAATTCTCTCTGAACCTAAAACCTATATTCTCCCCGTTCTACCTGCTGCTTCCCAGCACATAGATAACACAGAGTCAATATGAGATACTGTTCTTATGGAGTATAAGCCCCAGGTTAACATGGAAAGAAACCCTTCGTGAGCATGTTTTGTTGCTGGTGACAAAGAGGGTCCGGCTGAAGCCCTTATCACTGCCCTGTTTCTTCTCTTTCAGGCCTTTCTGCAGAGGTCTGGCCTCATTGCAGATCTCCATGCTTTCTGCCAGGCTCACAACTGTGATGTCCTGGTCACCATGACTATCTTTTTCAACACTCACAATGAGCCAGTGCGGCAGCTGGCTATTTTCTGTCCCCATGCAGCACTCCGAATGACGGTGAGTCTGTCCCTTCTGCAGCCTGAAGTCCCTACGGAGCTCTGCTCGTACGCACCACCCGGTGCTGTGCAGACCTGTCCTTGGGGAGCGCCAGGTGGCTCAGTCTCTTGAGTATATTGTCTGACTCTTGATTTCTGCTCAGGTCATGATCTCATGGGTTGTGGGATGGAGCCCCACATCGGGCTCAGCCGAGGGTCTGCTCGAGATTCTCCCCCTCTGCCCAGCCCCTTTTCGTGGGCACACACTTGAGCGCATGTGTGCACGCGCCCTCTCTTTCTCAAATAAATAAATCTTTTAAAAAAAAAAAAGACCTGTCCTTGGTTCTTGTATTTTTTTTTTAAAGATTTTATTTATTCATTTGAGGGAGAGACAGAGAGACCACAAGCAGAGGGAGAGGCAGAAGAAGAGAGAAGCAGACTCCCTGCTGGGACTCGATCCCAGGACCTGGAGATCAGGACCCGAGCCAAAGGCAGACGCTCAACCATCTGAGCCACCCAGGCACCCCTTGGTTCTTGTATTTCCCGAATCTTCCCTCCTCACTTTTCCCCATTCTCTCTATTTGTGAATATCCTTAATCATACTGTTGAGAAAGAAAGATTACAAAGACAGTTAGAGACACAGTTCCTGTTTAGAAGGAACTTGAAATCAGATTAAAAAGCAATGTTATAAATCTGGAGTTAAAACTCGATTCTTGGTCTAATCATTAATTCCTCATCCCCGAAAACCAGTTCCTTTCTTTTTACCCTATTGCCTTGAAAATGGGAAACACCAGAGATGCCTTTTCTACTACTTAACCATGCAGGGATGAATTACTCTATCTACTGCTAACTCTGTAGAGAAGAAATCCAAGAGCAGGTTTGTTTTCTTTCCTGATCTGTTTGGCCACTTTTCCCACTTCTTCCCCTTTCTTTTCCTCTGTTGGTTACTGATTAGCCCAGGGAAGAATTTAAAAGTGGGCTTAAGACAGTCCAGGAGGGCGCCTGGGTGGCTCAGTTGGTTAAGCGACTGCCTTCGGCTCAGGTCATGATCCTGGAGTCCCGGGATCGAGTCCCGCATCGGGCTCCCTGCTCAGTGGGGAGTCTGCTTCTCCCTCTGACCCTCTCCCCTCTTGTGCTCACTATCTCTCATTCTCTCTCTCAAATAAATAAATAAAATCTTAATAAAAAATTTAAAAAAAAAATTAAAAAAAAAAAAAGACAGTCCAGGAATGTTTGGGATTTCTTAGGCAGTGTGAGGACTACCAAAGACTGTTCTGCATACAGTCGGATAATCTTTTGCTTCCAAAGAAGGTTATGTCACCCTTTCCTTTTCTGGAAGCAAATGTGATTTCATTTAGTGGAAGGTAGTTTGGCACTGTGGAAGGAACTACAGTTTTATTTATTTGACACAGAGAGTGCACAACCAGGGGGAGTGGCAGGCAGATGGAGAGGGAGAAGCAGACTCCCTGCTGAAAGGGAGCCCAATTCTGGGCTTGATCCCAGGGTCCCGGGATCATGACCTGAGCTGAGGGCAGATGCTTAACCAGCTGAGCCACCCACGTGCCCCAAGAACTACAGTTTTAAAAGGCAGAATGTCATGTTTTCTCTCCCAGATTTGCCACTTACTGCTCCTTGAGCTCAGGCAAGTCAATTGACTTCTGAGTCTGTACATGGCATAATATCACTCATTGATTAGTCTGATGTGATCATTAAACACAAGATCCGTATGTAAAGCACACTGCTGGGCACAGAGTAAGCAGGCAGCAAACGGTGGCTCTTACTAATCATATCATGAAGGCAAGGGTGCTTTGGCCATAGGAAGTGCCTCTCCCACCTTCTGAAATGTCCCTGCCTTCTCCCCACCACACCCCTTCTGTGCTGTCCTCTGAAGCTGTGCAGACACCTGAAGGCTCCCCACTGCACCCCTCTTCTCGCAGTGTGCCCTCCCTTCTCCTCTCCCTCCTATGGTAGAAATTATATAAAAGAGTGATTTAGAACACTGGCTTTGGTGGTGGACCTGGGTTCAAGTGTCAGCTTTGCTTCGTTCCAACTATCACCTCAGGCAATTACTTAATCCATCTGAGCCTCTGTCTCCCTACCTGTAAATGAGGGTAATACCAGTACCCATCTTATAAGGTAGTGGTGACGATTCAATGAGATGATATTTGTGAATGGTCAGACTCGGCACTGTGCCTGGCACACCTTCCACCCCCACTTTGATCTGCTCATTCTTTATGCCTCTATCTTGCCCCTGACCTCAATCTAGATGCTTGTCCCATTGTAGCTAAGGATGGAGATCAAGTTTTTAAGCACTTGAAACAACACTAGGTCAGGAGCTGGGGGTCCTGGGTTGTGGTTCAGCCTCTCCCATCATCTATGGGATTTTGCTCAAGATACTTAAGCTCTTCAGGCTTGGGTGTACTTATCAATAAAACGAAATATATGATCTCAAATGTTTCTTCTGTTTCCAGATACTATGTGTATTACCTGATGTGCCTTTTTCTGAAGCAATAATATTGAACTCTGGATGATTTAATTAAAAAAAATGTTTCTCTGTAAGAGAAGTCTCTATCTTAGAAACCTCAGCTGTTTGCTTCCCCACCTCATGTACCATCTCCCCATCTTGTCTCCTCTTTAGATCTGTGGAGTGCTGGAACACTCCCACTCTCCATCCCTGAAGCTAACCCCTGCCCCAAGCACCCACCCTCACCTCCAAGCCTATCTTCAGGGCAACACCCAGGTCTCTCGGAAGAAACTTCTGCCTCTGCTCCAGGAGGCCCTGTCAGCGTATTTTGACTCCATGAAGATCCCTTCAGGGCAGCCTGAGACAGAGGGTGTGTGCAGGGAGCAGGCAGACAAGGAATTGGACAGGGCAGGTAACTCCCTGGTTCCTGGACTGAGTCAAGATGAGGAGGAGCCCCCACTGCCCCCCACGCCCATGAACAGCTTGGTGGATGAGTGCCCTCTGGATCAGGGGCTGCCTAAATTCTCAGCCGAGGTCATCTTTGAGAAGTGCAGTCAGATCTCGCAGTCGCAGTCGACCGCTGCCTCCCTGTCTAAGAAGTGACTGCTGGGAGGGCACAGGATGGTGAGAGAGGTTGCTTGAACCACTTCAAATGCATGTTTTGAGATGTGTCGGCGGTTCCGTCTTCATGGCTCCGGGATCTGGTGTACTGTGTTCATGAACCGGGGAGAAGAAAGAAGTGAAAGAAAAGAGCTGCTCTGGGGATGGCTTCCTGCCTTTTCCGCAGATCTCTACCCATCAGACAGATCATATTATTTAATTTAAATCTTCAAATCTGCGCTGACTCTCCTGTATTTCCCTGGCCTGGGGTACAGTGTGATACCTGCACAGTTCCAGCAAAGCTGCATAAGAAGGTGTACCCTCAGTAAGGCTCTGTAACAGAACCAGTATCTCTCGTGGAACCAAACAGCCATTGTCTCTGTGTATTCATTTATCCTCTTCTTCATTCAGCTATCTATTGAATACCTCCTTCCAGCTTGATAGAAAATAGAGTGTGCTTTGCAAACTCCTGTTCCGTTTTCAGCCTTCAACAGAATCCAGCTCCATGATTCCTCTTTCTGTCCCCAGTTAGGTGACGGTAGCCGAGGCTGAGGTAGCTACATTTGTATTCTGAGCTCATTATGACTCTTTTAAGATCGGTGGGGAGCAGCTAAGAGACCATTATCTTCCGTCCTGGTCAGCCGGCCTGGCTCTCAGTTTCTTTGGATCCCTCGGTCCCAGAGCCACAGGGACCCCAGAAAGACACAGAAGACCCCTGGTGCTTGAGAGTTTGGGCGATACCCAGGAAAGCCTTAAGACCACATAGGTACTCTTCCCAAAAGACAGAAGAACTGCAGTGAGAGCCCGGCTCTGGACCCTGCCTTAGCGGCCCGGCAATTTCTCTTCCATCCTGTTCTCTTCTTGCTCACGTTGAAAGAAAGTATGGAGTTCTAATACGGACTGCCGTGAACTGTGGGTCTCTTGGTAAGACACTTCATTTCTCTAGGCCTCATTCGCCCTGTCTGTAAAACTAAGGATCTGGACTGGATGTTCTCTGGTATTGTGATCTGCCTCTTGGTGCCATTGCTTCTCTCCCTGCTTCTCTGTATTGGTTTGTTTGTTTCTGTTCTCCCTGGGAATGCTCAGGGTGGCTGAACTGTCTGTATTTATATGTGATTGTACCAAGGGACTCAGCCTCACATAGCGTGTACAGTGGTATGATTCATACCATAGTGACCCAGCAGAGAACTCCCCCATCGACTTGTTCTGCATGTGTAGAGTCTCCCTTTTCCCTTCAGACCAACCTGTTCCCCTTTTTCCTGCCCCACAGCCCAGCTTCGTGTAAGTTGCCCACGGTTCCACTGAATGGTGGCGTGCGTGAAACAGTTTTGGCATGATGTCTTCAGTATGAGGGGGATGGTGTGACTTCACTTTGAGGGGATGATGTCTGTAGCCATTGGAAGGTAAAAATAGTGTGATTATTGAACCAAAGGAATTTATGTTTTGTAACTTGGGTACTTTATTTTGCATTTTGTTAAAGTATTAAATACATTTTTTTTCCTGTTTGGGGCCTTATTGTCTCTTTTTACCTCTGGTAATGGTTTCAGCCTCCTCAAGATTCATCTCCCTTCTTCCTGCTGTTTGGAATGTCTCCATTAACTTTTTTTTGGGAATGAAGAGCAACAGTCTTCCATCTCTCCTTATCCTCGGCCGATCATCTGTTTCTTCTTCCAGAACCCTCTTAATAACGGCGTTCCCAATCTTGCTTATGCTCAAAAAGCATAGTCTTAAAACCAAAATGTTTTTTTACCATTTCCTTTTTTTTTTTCCTTTCTTTTTCTTTTTTTTTTTTTTAAAGAGCAGCTTCCAGAAGTTATAAGAAGTCTGGAAGGGAAAACAAATTGCCTTCCTCGATTCCCGCAAGACTAGCCACTTTAGAAAATGTCCTCTCTTCCCTAAAGCCCGCCCCCACATAGGCAGGGTTTTTATTTTGGGCAAACCTGCTGCTTGGGAAGGGAAAGGAAGGGAGGTGGCAAAACCTGTTTGAAGGTAAGGTTACCTCCCTTCCACACCTCCCTCCCCTTTGGAGACAAGAGCAACAACAGCGAGACAGAGAAAAAGAACACAAGTGCTGGGGAGCTGGGACAGCCAGCTCCCAGACAGCTGCAAGTGTTTAAGGGAGACAGGAAGACCTGTGAAGATGGGAACCATGCAAGAAGCGGGAGAAAAGACGTTAGATCTCGGGTAAGTAAGATCTGGCTCACTTGATTGGAAACAAGCAACGAATAGTCTTGAGGGACTTTCCCACCATCCAGCGCTGACCAGGGCAAATCTTGGCTTCCTGGAAGAGACGTGACTGCAAGAGAATGAATTTGCAGGGAAGGGGTAGGGTGGCTCTAGGTAGGAAGTGGGGAACTGGGGGTTTCGGGATAATTCCCTATCATTTTGTTTTTAAAGGAAGCTTCTCTATTTTGTGTCTGATAGAACTGTGCCTGTTGTCTGTTTTCTAACACCCACTCCCCAGAATGGCCCTCTGAAAGCTGACCTAGAAAGAAATTTAGGTCCAGGTACTCCTTCCCAGCAATCTGTCTCCCTCCTTACCTTCTTCCCCCACCCTTCCACCTCTGCCATGGTTTTCCCTGACCACTCCCCAGTGTGGTGGAGGAAAGGCAGGCCTGACAAGGTGCCATCTTCCCTAACTCTGCCTGGTGACAGCTGGGCGGGTCTGTCAGGTTCCAGCCAGGTGTAATGTGGGATATCCCTACCCACTGTGTAGGCGGAGCAACACCACAGAGGTCTGTATGAGGAGCTGGACATTCCATCTTCCCTCTGCTCCTAAGCCCCACAGGAGGGTTCATCTGTCTCCAGGAAGTGGTGGGTGTGGTAGAAGTATCTCCTTGTCCAGGAGACAAGCTCTGACGTCTTTTCCAGTGTCTCCTACATACAGCCCAGTTCCCTTCAGACACTGCCTAGTTGGTCTCATGATCACCCCCTCCCCCCGGGGACTCTTAGGGCCAGGGAGAATGCTGAAGCAGTGGGGCCAGCCTCACCCCTGAGACTTGGGGGATTGGAGCTGAAGGAGGAGTGGCAGGACGAAGAGTTCCCCAGGTGAGGACTGCGAGGGATGCTCCTGAATGGTGGGCCAGAAGGATGAATTAGGACTTGCGGGAAGGAGGGCTTCAAAGAAGGCAGAGGAGATAAGATAAAATCCTGGCGGGGTGGTTGCTGGGTGGCTCAGTGAGTTGAGTGTCTGACTCGGGTTTCAGTTGATTCCATGATCTCAGAGTCATGGAACCAAGCCCCGCCTTGGGCTCTGCACTCAGCAGGGAGTCTGCTTCCCCTCTCCCTCTCCCTCTGTGCCCCCTCCGCCCCAAGTCCCGCAGCCCTGGCTTGTGTACACTCTCTCTCTCAAATAAATAAATCTTAAAAAGAAAGAATTGTGCCTTGGTGAGAGGATTGATAAACTGATACCTGGCTTGATTCGTTTAACCTGCATTTCTGCCCCCCTTGTAATCTTTCCCCTCTAGGTTTCTTCCTGAAGAAGCGGACCCTTCTGAAGATCCTGACGATCCTGAGAGAGACTCACAGACAGGTAGGCCTCAAATTCTTGATTCTAGGCCAGTGAAGGGCTGTGCCGCCCTCATCCATTTGTGGTTCCCCTGCTCTTTCCTCAAATATCCCCTGTGTAAGTTCTTTAGAATTCACCCCATATATCACTACCATATGCAGGAATTCCAGCCTCCCCTGCCAACACACATATACTTTTCTATTCTTTTCTCCTCTCTCCCGACCCCAGGTACTCCCAGCACTTTAGCCTTGTGTGGCCCACGTCCCATGCGTAAGCGTCTTTCTGCCCCAGAGCTGCGACTGAACCTGACTAAGGGGACTGGAGGCGACGGAACTTCTCCCACGTGCTCTGAACCTTCCTCTCCTGATGGCAGTTCTGACCTGGACGTAGATGAAGTGGAGACCCCGTCAGACTCGGAGCCCCTGGACAGTGGACATGAATTTGAATGGGAAGGTGGGAAAGAGACCTGAGGCCTGAGCCAGTACAAGTGGAAGCTAGAGTTGAAGCTCAGGGTGGATTTAATGGGACGAAAGTTAGAAACAATAAGGTGGGGACCGAGTGGTAAGGTCAGCAAAATTAATTTCCTCAGAACGGAAAGGTAGAGTCTGTAGATCCAATGTGAGAGTAGTCAGTAGAGAGGTGGGGAGGGTCCTTTGTTTAGGAAGCTTTTATTGAGTGACTGTTACATGCTATCACTGGGCGAGAACCAAGTTCTAAGGGTAAGTAAGATCCATCCTACCCTCAGGGAGTTCTCTGTTTAATAAGAAATTAACACATATACAAGTAAGTGTAGTTGAAGATTATGGTCTACATATGTGTAGGGGACGGTCAGCAGGGATATGGACAAGGTCAGTTCTGCCTGAGAGGCATTAGCAAAGACTTCACAGAAGAGGCGATTCTGAGGCTGGTCTTTATCAGGTAGCTGAGGCATTCTAGGTAGAAGAAACAACTTGGGTAGGAACAGGGCATGTTGGACATGTTGGGGAATTCAAAGTATTAAGCATGACTATTTTGATACTAAGGAAAACTTTGTTTCTTCTCTACTCTCGACACTTCTGACACCAAATGTATGGATTTTACCCACACCAACCACTTCTCCACTTTTCCAGACATCAACAGGGCATCCTAGAGTTCACCTGTGATGCTTGACAGGAGTTAGGACAGACCCCACAGGTTAAGGGCTCACCCACAAGATTGCCCCCGACTTCAGACACCAATCACATGTCCAAGTTGTCACCTGAACTTCTGAATCAGAGTGCTGTGTTAGGTTGGCAGGAGTCAAATCACAGAGGTCCTTGCTTCCACACTGAGTAGTTTAGATTTTATCCTGTAGGCAATGAGAAATCACTGAATGGTTTTAATCAAGGGAGTAACATGATCAGATTTAATGGATCTAAAGAGGTTGGAAACAACCTAAAGGTCCATCAGTAGAGTATTGATTCTAATATGGTACATCCATGCAATGGAATACTAAATACCAGGCAAGCTTTTTTTTTTTTTTTTTTAAAGATTTTTATTTTTTAAGTAATCTCTACACCCAGCATTGGGCTCAAACTCACAACCCCACTATCAAGGGTCTGTCGCACACGGCACCAACTGAGCCAGCCAGGTGCCCCTAGACAACCATTTTTTAAGATGAGGCAGCTGTTTCCATTGCTATGGAAGGATCATGCAGAATTAGTGGGTATAGTATATTGCCATTTGAGTAGGAAAGCTAGAGGAGAAAACAAAGCTTGCTCTAGCTGTAGGGTTTAGGGTGGAATGGAGTAAACAGACTAGAGACAGGGAAACCAGTTAGGTGGCTAGCACTAAGTCCAGGTGAGAAATGCTAAGAACCTGAATCAGGACAGTAGTAGTGGAAAGAATGATAAGAGAATATAATGGAGACATATGGAAGAAGATTTGGGGTCCAGTTGGCTTGAGGGCTGACAGAGAAGAAAATCTTTGATATCAGTTTTCTTTCTCAGCCAGCTAGATGGATGGAGTCATTCATCCAGAAAGGAAATATGGGAGAGAGGAGGAAGAGAATGAGTTCAAATTACACTTGGGTCTAGTGGCTTGGAGATGACAGAAAGACACAAACTAAAGATGTCCACTCTAAGCATTTAGGGACACGGGTTAGAGGGGCAAATTTGGAATCATCACCTTACTGGTGGTTATTGAAGACATGGGAACAGATGAGCTCACCCAAGGAAAGGCGTGGAAAGAAAGAATTTAGAAAGAAAAATAATACTGGCAAGGGCCATGGACCTACCATAGTGCAGGGTTACCTCAAGGCCAGCGTCTAGTGAAAAAGTGAGGATCGTGAGTCATAGGAAAGAGAAACCATCAAGGTACTGGATTAATTGGACAAACTAGGGCAAAAAAAAACAGGAATGAGCGGTTAGAGCAAATCAACTCTAGGAACCTGGGGAAGGTAGAAGATACTGAAGGCGTGTGTACCGTGCCTTATCAAGCCTTCCCCATCCCTCTCTTTCAGATGACCTGCCCCGGGCAGAGGGTCTGGGGGCCAGTGAGGCGGCAGAAAGGCTGGGCCGGGGTTGTGTGTGGGATGTGGTTGGAGAAGATGGCCGTCACTGGCGGGTGTTCCGGACAGGACAGCAGGAGCAGCGAGTGGACATGACTGTCATTGAGCTCTACAAGAAAGCCCTCTCTCATGGAGGTAATGGCTCGCATACGTGGGGGGGAAGAACTGTGACTTCTTGAATCAAATGCCGAAGTTGGAAACTCAGTTTCTGGCTTCCAAATCCTTTCTGTAACTTCCAGAGACCCTCAGAGTCCCTCAGCCTCAATAGATGTACTGTCATACATAGTTGTTGACTGAATTTTCCCTTTGTCCTCTCCAGGTTACCATGGTGATGGCCTCAATGCTGTTATTGTCTTCGCTTCCTGTTACCTACCCAGCAGCAGCATCCCCAACTATACCTATGTCATGGAGCACTTGTTCAGGTGCGGCGGAAGCCCTGAAGGGCTCCAGGGGGATGTTAGGGAGGGAAAAGTAAAAAAGAACCCCCTGGGGCGCCTGGGTGCCTCCATCGGTTGAGCGTCTGCCTTTGGCTCAGGGTCGTGATCCTGTGGTCCTGGGATCTAGCCCCACGTCGTCAGGCTCCCTGCTCGGTGGAGATCCTCCTTCTCCCTCTGCCTGCGGTGTCCCCTTGTTTTTGCTCCCCCACCCCTGACAAATAAATCTTAAAAAAAAAAAAAAAAAAGAACCCCCTGCACGATCAGCAGCTGACTGCAGAGTCTACAATAATGTCCCTCTCGCTCCCCACAACCCCAAGCATGTACCTCCCTTGACAGTTGTGTCTCCCCCCAGGTATATGGTGGGAACTCTGGAGCTGCTGGTCGCTGAAAATTACCTGCTGGTTCACTTGAGTGGAGGCACGAGTAGGGCCCAGGTCCCACCTCTGGGCTGGATGCGCCAGTGTTACCACACTCTGGACCGGCGGTGAGCCATGAGGACAGCACGGCTGCAACTCCTGCTGTGCTTTCTCTTTCCCTGTTTCCATTCTTTCCTCTTCCATTTTAGTCCCCTCCTCTTTTCCTTGTCCCTCTACAACCCTTACCAGGCCTCTCCTGTCTACTGAACTCTCAGAGTCAGGGAAATCTGGTTTCAAATCTTGCCTCTGTCATTTTCCTGCTCTATCATTTACCTTGGGCAAGTCACTTAACCTCCCTGGGACTCAGTTTCCTTCTCTGCAAGATGGCAATGATGATACCTTTGCCAGTGGCCACGGTGAAAATCCAATAAATCGGTGTGGCGTGTTGCCGGGCACACAGAGGTACCCCTTCCTTTTCTCCCCGTCTCGCCATTTAGTTTACCGCCCAGGCCACCATTGTCTGCTTCTCTCCGCCTTCATCCCTGACCCATAGGGCTTTGTTCCCCATGATGTTCCCTTTCCCTTTTTCTTTCCCCCACCTTCCCTTTGCTCACTTTTCTAGCTCATTCTTTTTTGTTTTTGTCCCGGTTGTGGGCGGCATGGGAAAAGGGGAGTAGCCAAGATTTATGTGAGGGTAGGGCACAGGAGGGAGATGGGGCAGAGGGATTCTGGCAAGGGAGTTGCCTAAAAATGAGGAGCACGAAGGGCTAAACACGATGGGTGGAGCTCAGATTACAGGCCAAGGAATGGGAACTAGACCCAACTGCCAGAGAAATCTAGAAACTGCAGATGTGAAGGAAGGTAAAGCACAGAACATAGCTCCACCTGATCATCTGGCATGAAGGTGGAAGAAGAATAGAATGATCTCCTTCCTATTCTGCAGGCTCCGGAAAAACCTGCGCGCTCTGGTGGTTGTCCACGCCACCTGGTATGTGAAGGCATTCCTGGCACTGCTTCGGCCCTTCATCAGGTACCAGCTCTGAGGACAAGGACCTCCCTTCCCCCATGTTCAAAATCAAGATTAAGAAGATTTTGCCCCACCCTGGCTCTTTCTAGCCTTAACCACGCTCTGCTTGCCACATTTCCCTTTGTAAGGGTCTCCAAGAACCCTCTTCCCAGTAACTTGGTTTATCCTCTCTTTTCAGTTCCAAGTTCACACGAAAGATCCGTTTTCTGAACAGCCTGGGAGAGCTGGCCCAACTCATCTCCTTGGATCAGGTTCACATCCCTGAAGCTGTCAGACAGTGAGTCCCCCGAGCTTAAGGAGAAAAGTTTGGGGTGGAATGTATAAAGCCAGTTCTTGCTTTCTTAATGCCTTGAGGGAGATGCAGAGGAACTAAAAGATAGAGGCCCTGCTTCCAGATGCTTCGGTATATCTGGGAAAACTGCACCCACCCAGAGAAGAAATTAAGGCCTGCATCCAACAAGAACAAATGAAAAAAAAACTATACATATAAGTGCTGAGGCATCAGAGAATAAAGGAATATTTCACAGCACAGAACTTAGAGGAGATTGAGATCAGCCATAGAAGTTAAGAAGTCAAGAAGGGCAGTGAAGAGAAAATACCCAGTGGGGAGGTACTAGGGAACAAAGGAGCCTGATGACCACCAGCTCAAGCACCCAATCTTCAGACTCTTTCCAATTCTTTGGCTTCTCTCCCAGACCAATGAGTAAAACCTAGGTCCTGCTCCTGAACCATTTTTTTGTTTTTCTCTCCTAGGCTGGACCGGGATCTCCATGGCTCAGGAGGGACCTAGTGGAAGATGGGAACCAAGGGCCTTAGAACCAAGCAAAGATTAATCTGCCTATGCCCTAACCCTGAAACATCTGGCCTGTTCCCTAAACCATCTCATCCTCAACCCCAGTACCACTGGACCTTCACATTTCACTGGGGTGTCATTCCTCTCATGACCCTGCTTTCAAAGCAGGGCTCCGAGGTCCGGAACCTGATCTGCCTGGTGATCATCATTTCAGCTAGAGGGGTGCATGTAGTGGCATCTTGTACGGGAAAGGGGAAGGCTGTGGGTTTTGGTTCTGCTTCAGCTGCAGAACCTTGGGCAAATAACTGCATCACTCAGTGTCCTTTTCCTCCCCTGTAAATGAAGGTGCTAAGACCCTTTCCACCTGGGGCATTCTAGCAGTCTGTGAAGCTCGGTGAGAGGTGGAGGGGAGAGCAGGGCTTAACTGACCACACAGCCTGCTGGGAACCAGGAGTCAGCTCCCTAAATCTTGAAGAACCGCAATCTCCTGGGTACCTGGGTGGCTCAGTTGGTTACGCGACTGCCTTCGGCTCAGGTCATGATCCTGGAATCCCGGGTTCGAGTCCCGCATCGGGCTCCCCGCTCAGCGGAGAGTCTGCTTCTCCCTCTGACCCTCTTCCCTCTCGTGCTCTCTATCTCTCATTCTCTCTCTCTCAAATAAATAAATAAAATCTTTAAAAAAAAAAAAAAAGAAGAACCGCGGTTTCCTTCTTTGTCACAGCTGCTGCCTGTGAGCCTGGGAAGGAGTGCTTTCAAAACTTGTACTTTTGTCCTCTTGAGTCAATTCAGATCTGTAGCGGTTAATAAACTGCGATGCGAGATTTAAGCCCTGCTCCGAGGAAGTGCCCTACTTGCCCGGGCCCCTTACATCACAATGCGTCCGTCGGTTCTGGCACGGAGTTCTGGCCGCAGTGGTTCCTAAGCTAAAATAGCTCAGCCCCCCCCCGCTCCCCCGCACTCCCCCGCTCCACCCCCGGGCTGCTCCGCAAGGGCCTGGGGGAGGGGCGTGGCGCGCGCGTAGGAGTCCCCCTCCCCCCGCCCTCCGCGGGCCGCGGTTCAAACGACCCGCCGGGTTGAGAGCGGAAGGGAGGGAGAGAAGGTAGGAGTCCCGGCCTCCCTCGCTGGCCTCCCTCTCAGCCACACATCGGCCGGCCCCATGGTCCCCGCCGCCGGCGCGCTGCTCTGGGCCCTGCTGCTGAGTCTGGGGCCCCGGGCGGCGGGGGCCCACGGCCTGACTTCCACCGAGACGCAGCGGGCCAGTTTCCGCTTCGGGGTCCCCATGTCCCGCCGGACCACCCTCCGGACCGGTGGTCCCAGCAGGATGAAGGTAACAATGGAGGTTGAGGATGACGTCGCGGCCAGTGCCGACCGCCTGGCCGGCCCGGCTGCTGCGGAGCTCTTGGCCTCCACAGTGGCCACAGGCGTCAGGAAGTCGATTGTGTCGTCGCTCGAGGATGATGAGTCTTTGGAAGAGGGGGTTGTGATTAACGCCAGAAAGAATAACATCACTGCAGCGTCTCTCAGCAGGAATTACAATACAGCGGGGGTGCCCAGCTCAAGGTTTAAAGCAAATACCCAGGAGCCTGAGATCAGTATGTCTTCAGACCTGCCGACCAAAACCTGGCAGCCTACTGGGGCCATAATGCACCCTGACAATACCTTGAGCCAGTGGTCAACAGCAGGGTCCACCCCAAACCGGTGGGAACAGCCCTCGTACACGACCCTACCACCTCCGGAGGATCTGCGGCTGGTGCTGATGCCCTGGGGCCCGTGGCACTGCCACTGCAGCTCCGGCACCATGAGTCGGACCCGGGCGGGGAAGCTGCAGGGCCTTTCTGGGCGCCTTCATGTTGGGGCACTGAACCAGCTCCGCACAGAGCACCGGCCTTGTACCTACGAGAAATGTCCCTGCAACCGGCTTCGGGAGGAGTGCCCTCTCGACTCCGGTCTCTGCTCTGACACCAGCTGTACCACTCAGACCGCCACCACCAGTACCACCACCACCACCACCACCACCACCACCACCACCACCACCACTCCCATACCCCCCCTCAGCTCTAGAATCAGACCCACCCCCTTCCTCTTCTTTGGCACCAGCCCCAGCCCCAGTCCAGCCCTTGCTTTTTGGAGACGGGTCAGGATCGGGCTGGAGGATATTTGGAACAGTCTGTCTGCAGTGTTCACAGAGATGCAACCAGTAAGTGTTTGCATGAGGTGTCACTTGCCTCGTTTGGTCACTGATGCATAATATACTGGTTACATCGTTAGCCACTGAGTCCACCTATTTCTTGAGCCACTGCTGGTTGGTTAATGGGCAACATGTATCATTGGTCATGGGAGGATTATTGCCCAAACTGTGAAGATTAGAGATGTATCAACAATGCTTGATGAAGATAATAGATATGGAAGATATTAATAGTTCTGTTTATTAATGCAATTTAATAGTAACAACAGCCAATATTTGAGGTCTTACTATGTGCACTTGACCTGGATCAATCCTCACAACAATGCTGTGAGGTATAATTATCCCCACTTCACAGGTGAAGGAACGGGAGTTTACAAGCTAGTAAATGACAGTCACAACAGGATTGGTTGACCCTAGTGCTGATGCCCCTAACCACCACTATCCCAAAGAACCCCAGGGATTATTTCCAGCAATTTAAGAATTCTTCAGGAAGGATAGTCCTCTGCTTTACCAAATGAACTACCAAAGGCTCTGATTGAGAATAATAAAATATTCTCAATTGACAGGATTTCGGGAACTTTGGGGAGAAGGGAAGGACAACAAAATAGTGTATGTGGTCTGTCATTTTGCCAGTTTTTGTCTTTCTCCTTGGGTATCCAATACCGTTAATTCAGTATAAAAAAGCAGCATAAACGGGGCAGTGGTGTTGAGGGAATGAGGGCTTCTGGGGAGGGAGATGAAGCAAGGAAGGGAAAAGAATATAGATGTAGTTATAATATTTCCCCTTTTTCTCTATTTTGTTTCCTTACCCAGATAGAGAGAAACCGCAGGTAATGGCCACTTCATCGGCAACAGAAGGTGTCAGCCTCTCAAACTTTCCATCCCTTTCGATCCCAGCACCCATTGGATATTTTTAGTACAGAAAAACAAAACTAGAAAAAAATTGTTTGGTCTTGTGTCTTTTTACAGAGGTATCTGAGGGTGGAGGTCAGAAATCTCTTGAACCTTAAAACTGAACTGCGTAACCAGCAGCATCGGGCCTGATCCCTTCCCTTGCCCCCAGCGTATTTTATACTCCCCCCCCCCCAGGATAAAATGTTGATGTTGCTCTTCTTCATTTGCAAAATTGTTTTTAAACAAGTGATTTCTTTAAAGATTTGAAAAATCTCAGAAGAATGCCAAGAGGAGGGAACAGGAAGAACAGGGAGTTGAGCCCTTGAAAGATGATGGTGGTCTTCTTGCCTTCACAATACTTGGCCTTCTCTCCTTGCAAAGGGTGATGTTGGCACAAAATTCCATGTCGGCTACTTTTTAGCAGTTACCTTCATCAACCATATTTATCCTTTGACCCAAAACATGCCTGTAGTGATTACTCTGTGACTATTTTGCTTAAACATTTTTTATTTGAAAAATGTATTTAAAAGTCCAACACATTTCAATATAAATTATGACTCTCAAACCCATTCCCATCACTTTTAAGTACTGTTCAAGTGATGGGAGCATACACGTTAGAAAAGGTGGCTAAAGGCAAGAGAATACCAAAGACGACTGTGTCCAAAAAGAGGCATTAGGACAAGGCGGAAGATGGGGTGACCAGAGTCCATGCGTCCCCCATCCTCCTCCCCTATCCCGTGAACCCTGCAGATTGACTATAACCCTCAGGCTAGTAAGCTACTTTAGGACAAGATGAGCTATTTTCAGAACAACTAGCTAGACTGGAACAGAGTAAACTGGGAATGTATGACCAATCTTAGACCCTGAAAAGTGGCAGGAAATACACTGAAAATTGGAACAAAATTAGAACCTGTCACTACAGGTGGGGCAAACTGGATGGATGGTGGACTCAGCAGAGTGGATCCTAGTTCCCACCTTCCTGACCCTCCTCACCGCCAAACAAGATGCTTCTTGTTGCTGAGCTAATGAGAGACCCCCATCCTGTCTCAGAGCAGGAGGAGCTCACTGGTCATGTTCTGCCTTCCTAACCACCCTGCAAGGAGGGGCCAGAAGAAAAAACACCTGAGAAGAAAAACTGCCTAAAGACCCTGCTCCTGCATTATTTTCCCACCTAACGCAGACTCTTCAGCCAGGTGGGGAGTGGGACCTGGTCTTCAGACAAAACTCCCTGAGTCTTATTTGTGTCTGGTTCTAGGACTGGGGCACAGAAGTAGAGCTTAAAGTTTGCAGAGGATAAACCTGGGTGTCTGTGGCCCTACTGCTTTTACTCTCTCCCTTCCCCAATCTCGCCATACTCTGTCCCTGCCTCCACACTGCAGGAACCCCTCCTCCAAACAAGAATGGAGAAGCACAGTACGCGTCCATCAGAGACATGAACCCATGCAAGCACAAGCAACACACTGAATAAAGGACGGTTTCAGACATTATGTGCAGCCCTATAGAGCCTACTTTGCAAGAGGGCCTGGTTCATCTATGGCTCAGGCTTAGGATGAATAATGGGATGGGGGTAGGGTGGGGAAAATACTTTAAAGAAAAATACCTTGAGTCTAGAGCAGTGACTCTCATCTGGGGGTGATTCTGCCTCCTAGGAGACACCTGGCAATATCTGGGGGCATTTCTGGTTGTCCTAACTAGGGTGGGACAGATACACCACTGAACATCCTAAAATGCACAGGACAGTCCCCTATTACAAAGAATTATCCAACCCAAATGTCAGAAGTGCCTACGTTGAGAATCCTTGCTCTAGAGGTGTCCCTGCTCCCATGCGCTGAGAATCTTAAGATCCCTAAACTCACAGATGATTTTCAACCTACCCTCTCAATCTCAATGGTTAGGAAGTCCACTCTGAGACACACCTCCTAGTTTTGCAGCATTCTGAATTTCTCTCCAGATCCCTCTTCCTCCTCACCTGGGCCAGCAGGCAGATTGGCAGAGGGCAGGCCAGGTCCCCAAGACTTAAATGGGATACCATCAGGTTAAGACCCACTTCTTACCTTAGCTCTCATTCAGTGGGAAACAGTAAGGTTCCTATTGGGGATGGGACTAAAGGTAGAGGTAGTAGAAGGAGGGGGGTAATTAAGAGAACTCATCTTAAGTTAAATTTTTAATTAAAAAAGAAAAAGATGTTGGAGAACTCACAGTGCTGCAGAAACAGGGTTAGAGGCCTACTAGACAAAGAGCTGGTAGTGGCAGAGAGATATCGAGGGACCGTGAGCTTAAGGTCTGAGATCTAAAGAGAAAGAGGAGACTAGGCAGTGGTCACCCTCCCACCCCTGCTTGACCTCTGTTTCAGTTCAATCCAGGAGAAAAAAGGAGAAGGGCAGGGAGGTAAGGCGCTTCTCAGCAAAGCCGGCTTCAGCTTTGGTAATCTCACCCACCTACCCCATTTAAGGAGTTCCAGGTTAAGAATTTAAAAACAGATGGCACCTAGACCGTCATTCAGGAGAAGGGAACGCCTTCCAGGTTCCCAGAAAACTCCTATCTCAGATCTGAGTGTCCAGGGCTTCAGCTGAGCTCCTCTGGCCAACCAGTAGTCACTTGGTCAGTCCTGCTGCCTTGAGCCCATCTCCAGGAGGGGCTAGAGCCAGAGGAAAGACAGGGAGTCCAGCCCCCAAGCCTTCTGAGGCACTAATAGGCAGAGAGGGAAAAGAGGGGGCCCTGGGGTCACTGGTTCAAGGAGCGGGCAGCATCTCTTCTGGGCTGGACACGGAACAGAGGCTTCAGACAGCAGAACCTGATTAAAAAAGAAATTGAAGAAGGAAGATAAGCCTCAAGGAAGACTGAGGCGTCAGGGAGAAGGCATCACTTAGCGCAGACTCTTAACTATTTCTAGGGTGCTCTTTTCTTGATTTCTGACTGCACCTCCCTCTCTCTCTGCCTTTCTGCATCCGAAATTCTTTTTTTTTCTTTTTTATTCATTTGAGACAGAGAGAGAGCAGGAGCAGTGGGGAGAGGCAGAGGGAGAGGGAGAAGCAGACTCCCTGCTGAGCAGGGAGTCTGACGTGGGGCTCGATCCCAGGACCTGGAGATCATGATCTGAGCCGAAGGCAGAGGCTCAACCATCTGAGCCCCCCAGGCGCCTCTACATCTGAAATTCTTGACTCCTCCAACTCCTCCAATTCCTTCTTCCTCCTCTCACCTCCCATTCTTGCAGAGGATAGGGGTTCTGAGGCAGGGCATCAGGATGTGTTGACGGGGGCTGGAGGTACTGAATGGGTTTCTCTAATCACTCACCATTTCTGTTGGAGCTACAATCCCCTAGAATTGCTCCATGGCCTGTCTCGGTTTCCCTTGGATCTCATCTGCTCCTGAACTGCACCTGTCTATGAAAAAGCACATGTGAGACCCTCGTCCTAAGTATGGATATTGCACAGTAAGTGACCGCCCCTGTGCCCTCCATGGAAGAGGCTGACCCCATCTCCCTGGCAGTAAAGTCAGTCTGAAAAGGTGAAAACCAACAGCCATTCTTCCAAGGGAAGTCTCAATGTCTCCCTTCATACTGACTCTCCTGAGGGTGAGATAAAATGGCTCTCTGACTAATAAGACCTCTCACAAAGGGCTCTCATATTTATCTGAGTTTCACGATTGGTGAAAAGCCTCCTTCACTATCTCCAGGCCCATTTCCCTTATTTTGAGAGCAGAAAAGAGTATTTGACATTATTTAGGACAGGGGTGCTCTGCCTTTTTCCTGCCTCAACACACCCAGCCACGGTATGACTTACTATGGCACTGGAATAGCAGTTAATTAGCAGGGTTTTGGTTGTTGGAGAAAGCCCTCCAAATAAGTCTTGAGTCATATATATCCCCCATCCTGATGAAGAACAATATGCTAATTGTAAAAATGAGGGAGCCTAGGCCAGAGACCTGAAATGCCAGGTCTCAGGTTTATGCAGCTGGTGACCAGGACTAGAATCCTAGTTCCAGGATTACTTCCCCACCAACTATTTACCATGTCCCCAGCTTACACTTCAAAAAAGGGGAAAGGTTCTAGGCCACAATCCCATATCAATCTCTCCCCATTCTCTTGTTACCATGGCAAGTCCATCTCCGGCCCCCATCTCCCCAGAGCCAATGTGAGTCAGGTGGACAAAATTCATTGGTTCCCCAATCATGGTCCGGTCAATTCGTCTCCTCTTCTTCTTCTGCTTAGAGAAGACAGGGGAGTTAGGTCTGAAAGTGGAAGAAGGGAATAGAGTCTTGAAAACCACTAGGGGAAGAGCTAACAGCCCAATGGGCAAAGGTATGTGGCATTACAACAGGGAAATCACTAGGGTCTGAAAGGCAAGTCTGGAACAACATAAACACAGAAAGGACACAGGGCAGGGGCCTGCAGAGTGAATACTAGACAAAGAAAGGACAGATCCAAGTCACCTCTGGCTGATGAGGAAACAATGGGGAAAAGTAACAGGCATTACGCTCCACCTACAACCCCTGCCCCGCTCAGAATGGACAGAAACAGGAAGTGCTAGCTAGGACGATTCACTTCCTCTGTCACCCAGTCCCCCTGGATTCCACGCACACACCTGCCTGGCCAGAGAGACTATCCTGACGGAGAGGGAAGCAAGTCGCTTGCTTTCTAGGCACCAGATCGCGGGTGGTGTGTCTGCCTCACAGGCCCCGGGAACTGATTCTGTGAGTGCCGGGGTGGGGTTGGGGCTGGGGACTCACCGGCTGGGGTTTCTCTACCACGCAGCAACCCAGTTTGTGCCAAAATTCACTCATGTTCCCTGATGGTTCCAGTTTCACTCCTCTGCCTGAGGCCCCAGAGGGCTCTTGCTCTGGTGCCTTGACTGCCCACTCCTCAGTCCCCTCAGGTGTAACGGCCACCTGGGTCTGCTCAGCTGCACGGGTCTGGGGACAGCAGAGTCCACGGTACCCCTGGCTGGGCAGGGAGGCTCAGAGTCTCGGACCCTGAGGGGCTAGCAGGGCCGGTGCAGGGTGAGCAGGCGGGCACGAGGTTATGTCTTC